CATTAGTTTTATTATATTTAACCGGACACCAAATCCAAAACTAAACTCAGAAGGATGGTTATGTTTTATATATATCTAAAATTATTTGTTTTATTTGCTTTCATTTGATCATAGCAAATTTATTTTTGTTAAAAGTACATTATTATAAATATATGTAGTGTTACAAAAAGATTAAAGTATTAAAAAAGACTGACATGCCTACAACATCAAAGGCCATATTTTAGACATAACATGAATATCTTAATCTTAATAATGTCTCAAAATAGGCGAAAGAAGCCGGTAAAACATAAAGTATATACTTATAAAAATGATCCAGTATAAGACTTTTTCAAGCGACTTTAAAAAGAGTAGGTCCTTCATAAGGAATTTGGAAAATTATATTTTTACCTGAAAGAATATACTTACAGATTGGACTCATAGAAATTTAAATGGTTTAATAATTTTGTGTTCGAATCAAATTAAGTTTGTCTCTTAAAGTATTTTTATTTGTAATGCACTATCGTAATTTATATTCTAAGTAGATGTTACCATAGATCTCTTATTACTATCTATTTTTTGTTACTTTAATGTTGATTTTATACTCAAACTATGCAAATGTTAGACTTGAAAACATAAAACAAAATTTAATTACAACCCATCATGCAATGATACAATTTAACGCATTGTAAACGAACTCCTTTACACCTCAGTCCTCTGTTCTGCCAGTAACGTCTTGAACATTTAATAAAGTGATAAAATACTTGTGCTTACCCCAAACACGCGATGTTTTTATGATTTCATTTCATTGCTTTTTATTAACTTCTTTTCCTTGCTCGTACTTTTTATTTCAAACAGTAAATTAATATAACGAGGGACAAAAAGAATTTTAGATAGCGACTCTATAAAGATTTTTATAAGATCGTCAAGGTGGCTTCAGAATTTGAGTGTTCTTTTAATATTCTTTTCATTTATTAAAATACTTGATGGATTGTTAGTCCATTCAATATAAAACATGTAAAAAGAAAGAGAAAATATTTTATTTTCAACGAATTTTATTTACGCGTAGGTTTAATCATAATAGACTTACATCATTAGGTATTTACCTTAATTTTTTTTGCCTGTCATTTTATACGCGAATATTTTAAAGTAACAATGTATACCATTTATAAGGCATATCAAGATAAAACATGCATCAATGCATTTAAAGTTGGACCTTTAAGAATACAACTTCTAATGTAGTGCAGTATTCGCCATTACTCTTATTAAGGATCCTCATAATATCTTCTTATTGCCGTTAGGCCTAAGCATAGAAGAAGCCTTCCTTTACCGTGGGAGTTATAGAAGGCGGCTAAGGAAGCCGAGAGATGGGCAGCAGCGTCCTTCTAATAGTAGAGTAGTTTAATACTCTAAAGTCTAATTGCAATTGCCAATCTGCCTGCCAAGCGTGGCAACTACTAGCAAAACCCCCAAGGGCCAGGCTTATGTTCAGCATTGGACAGTTAAAGGCTTATATGCTGATGACAATAATATCTTCTGTGTACAAACATAGTTCAATTACAATTTTGTTAAATTTATACAGATCTATCATATATCGGTATACATATAACAAAATGTTTTCTATATCAACAGTCTGTTTCAAGCCCTACTAATTTGCAAATGTATGTGTATCTTTTACATATATGTATATGAATATCTAATCCTTACTAATATTATAAATGTAAAAGTGAGTTTGTTATTTTATAGCGCCTTAATGGCTGAATCAATCACTAAAATTTGATATAAACTTACTACATGGAATAGAGAAGAATATAGAATGTATTCCGGTCAGTAAATATAGCCCGATCACGCAGAGGAAGTCGCGGGTAAATAATAATGTGTAAAGTAATACGGCAGACGAAGAGAAAGACTACGGAGACCAGCCATTCATACTCGAAGAGATCTGAACGCTGTTCTTATCTGTGACAATGTCGCAAGCGCGTACAGCTCGCACTAAGCGGGCGACACACACAGTCAGGCTCGTGCTCGCGTCGAGCTTTTTCAATTCCGAAAGTAGTCAAGCACTTTCGATTTGTTTACACGTAAGTTAAACCGGTAGTTATTAAATTAAAATATAATGTGTAAAATATTCATTTAATAAAATTATAAGATGTTCTATGATTGAACTATTGAATTAGTAACTTAATGATCATATACTGCTCGATAAATCGTATATTTATAAAATACTTTCGGACAATATTTTCATATATATAATATGGAAAATAAACAATATTTTAAGAATAGGTTACGATGAATACACTCTATAGAGAGATTCAGACTTAGTTATTTTCTAGTTAGAAAGAATATATCAAAGTAAAATGATTATGCAAAATGACATGGAAATTTTTCGCAAACAGATACTTTCAAAATAAACTCGAATTTGAAAGAGCATTCAAATATTATTTCATTTCTATTTAATTTATAAGTATTCTGTTTACAATTTTCACATTTTCCGTGAAATTCAAACTCGCTCCCAAGACGCGTTTCACTTTTTGGTTAATATCTATTGCTTATTTTTCCCCTTCATAATGCCTCCAGGGATTCCGGTGGCCCACGTGATTTATGGCTTATGCAAAGAATGAGAGGATATTTTCTACACCATAATTCAGGGTAGTTGAGATTAGAGGCGGGTCTGTATGGAGGATGATATATCAATCTGTTCGTTTCCTACATTTCTTTTTTATTTCCTGTTATATTGCTTAAGTATTGTCACATAAATAAAATGAAGCGGATTTCATGTTAATACATGTATTACCGTTAAAAGTTTCCTAAACATATATTCATCATCGTCATATCAGCCCTTAACTGTCCACTTCTGAACATAAGCCTCCCCCTTGGGGGGGTTTGCCAGTAGTTGCTACGCTTAGCAGGCAGATTGTCAACTGTTTGTTTGCCAACACACACAATTTAAGCACACATTATATTGTAATAACAGTTATGGTCGCATTCGCGTCACGGCCGCTCATGGTTAAAGATCACGAATTGATCCCGAAACTATTCGGGTAAACCAACTTTCTTGATCTAATTACATGTAAGTTAAACTGGTAATTATTACATGTAATACCGTCTGCGTGTTAGTGAATACTATCCAATACTAAAAGTGAGTGCGAACAATTAATAAATTACTCGTCACTCGATTAAATTACTGACGCATTCTGAACTGTATAGTATACGGTGACAACTTATAACGCTGCTGTTTGAATCATTGCTATGATCGAATAAGCTCAATCAAGTAGGCTTGACAATGCGTTGGTGAAATTTTAAACATGTGTGGTTTGACCGCACGCTACAATGACATTGCAAATAAGTACATTTATATTAAACGACATAATTGTAATCACTCAACATTATAATCGATTTGTCACAATTATATTGAAATTGGGAGAACTAAAGTGCTCACACACATAAAATACATGGCAATGTGGTGCTGAATATCGCGATGGACTGCGGCAGTGAATGCTAGGAGTTAAAACCACCACTTTGAACCACTACACATATAAACTGCAAGTCTTTGCACTCACTGATCTGTGTATTAAAAGCACTTAATATTTGTTAGTAATGGTGTTTGTAAGCGATATACTCTATCGGGTTGACCTCCAAGCGGTTCTCCCTGGAAACTATCGCAATCATTTCTTAACGAATTCACGTTACGATGAAAAAACTGGCTGTCTTCCACCTCACTGATGCTCCGCCAATGTATACCGACAGCGCAGACAGTAGCTTCTCATTATCATCCAATAAAGAAAATCTCGTTTACGGGACCTACTTATATTAGAAAATAAACATAACCCCTGTTTATACACCTGTCGCTGTTTAAAATATATGAAAATATGTTCATAATTATGTTATTTTACTTGCGGTTTCCAAGTACATATATATACATATACACACATATACATACATAGTACATATACATACATAAACTTATATAACCCCTTTTTATAAAAATGGGCCTTTGGATTACAGTAATAGTAACTAAATTATTACATAGGTATCGATACATGGCACTCAATATTATCTAAACCTCAACCTCGGAAAAACGTTAACCTTTTTCATAGCAAAGGTTCCCGTTTTTCGCAAAGAATTGTTATTTCTAACGTCTTTATTTAGTGATATTACGTGCATGCTCTCTTACGTGTCAAAGTAGTAAACAAGTTCTAACCATCATTCTAATCGTTTTACAGCCACCAGCTCGTTCCAACGGGCGCCGGGGTGTTGTATAAACCCCAGGTCGGTCCTGCAATTGTCTATATCATTAAATTAAAAGCTTTCGTGTTCGAAGGCCGTTAGTAATATCCCAGCACCTAGAGCCCCATTCGTACAAGGGCACGGTTGGCTAAACAGTTAACTAATTTATTATTATCCATAAATTTCTGATCAAGAAGCTGATAAGACACGTCCTCGGGGTTTTACAGGTTTTGTAGTGGGTTTAGTGCTTGGCGTGAACGCGAGCTTGTTGCTATTTGTCAGTATTTAGTTATTTGTCATTATTTTTAAATCATTCACAGATACTTACAATTTTAGGAAAGTCGAGTAAATAGATATTGCATGAAACGTTCATACCGACTAAAAATTTTAAGGTATCCCTCGATTTGCTGTTTGCAATCTTACTTCACTAATGTCCCACTGATGGGCATTAATCTCTCTCAGGCTTTATTAGCTTCTTATTATCATGTTTACCAAGCGGCTTGGTATAGAATCCCATTTAGCGTTCTTTCTCTTGCATTAGTGGATTAACAGAGTTCTACAATGTACCCAAACATTTCTTTTTCAGTCGCCTCTTACGACATTCTAGAGTGACTCGTTTAGTGTGGATGACTTTGATGGCAAATATTTTTAGACCAAATTATAAAACTCTTATACAAACTTAACATTTAGATAAACTGTGTTAGTATGAGAAGCTCATAAAATTTTATATTTTTTTTTATCCATATTTAGAAAAAAATTCAGTTTTAGCAAAAAAAAACACGGCACTAAGAAAGAAAAAAAACATATTTACGGGTTGCAGTCTCTTTAATTTATCATTTGTATTTATTAAACTAAGTTAGTTACATCAAAACACACATTGCGTAACAAATTGGACTGGAAGATATGTTAGAACCAGTGATACGATATTGTACCTAAAGGTAGGTAGATTTATTGCTGTGAACCCTACCTCTCGCTGATTCGGAATGAATTTTTTATGTCGTAGAATTTACGTGTGACGGCTAGCATTTTTATCTATACAATATGAAGTAAGCAATGGACTTGCTGTAACGCCGTACCCCCTATTCATAAAAACAAATATCTATTACAACTCTCAGCATACTTATTTTGAACTATTAATAATATTATTTCTCTTTCTATTCCATTCGAAAGTAAATAAAAAAAAAGAGATGACCCACTGCATAATAACTAAAATATAACCTACAAGACGTTTGATGTTTTTATGAATAAGGTGTTAAACAGTGTTTACACAAAAATGTTATTTTAAATAAGTGTCAGTTTTCAAAAACAACAGATTTCAATATTTTTTTATACTTGTTTAAAAAGAGCACTTATAGTGACCTGAAACATCAATCACGCAATAAATAACATTATTAAACGATCACAAAGTTTTTGGATTCTAATAGTAAAAAAAATATTTGAATACTTTAAAAGCAGATTACAAAATATCTAGCGGTAGATTTGTTTTAAATTTATTATTTTATTAACGTTTTAGTTCATTAAAAGAAATTATTTGTGAAAACTGACAGCGAATACAGACATACTTAGAATTGAATAAAAACGTTAATAATAATCTATATTTACTTCGATACCGAATCAGCTGATGTTGGGTCGATCTAAAATAGTATCTAAAAGTGATCTGGATATGTTTCGTTCGATCACGAAGCACTTCTAACATGAAAACGTAACTCTAAATGCCACTTTGATATATATTTAATATTGTCATTGTTTTATTTTATTAGTATTAAGGTATAATACTTTACAAATACACTAGACGAAAAGTAGAAAAGACAACTTAGCATTTATTAAAAGAGCATTTCGCATTAGCATTTTATAAAAAAGAATGAACAATAACCTAAATTTGATCTAGGCTAATTTATTAATATTTTCCTATACATAACATTAAATAGACATGTTTTAATGTACAACTCTTAGAAACAGTTTTCAAATTCGTTTCATTGAAATAATCATAAATCTCCATAAAAACCTACACATGATAGATAAAATGTTTATTAAACTGTAAATGTGACGAATTAAGAATTAAGGTTTGTATGCTTTATAGATGTCTAGTTGTAACTGAAAACAGTTAAGCAAATCGTAAAAAAATCTAGACTTATTTATTTATTTACATATTTTATTTACACAAAGACGTGCCTAAATAATATTAATTTAAGTTATAACTTAAGGAAATTAACAACGATATAAGCAATTACGAATTAAGAAGGTAGCCGAATACGACTTGGCTCTGAGGATTCCGTATTATAATTTATAATTAATTAAAATAAATAAAAAGAAGGTAATTATATAGTTAGTAGAATTTTTTATGTAAAGAATAGTAATTTTAAATTTATATAGTAAATTATCCATTTAAAATATCATTTTAATTGCGTTTATTTAGATGTTACTTATGGCATTAAACCTGCAAACGCACTTCCTAACTAAACAGCTCCATCTATTTATTTCAAGAGGATTCGTCAATGTAACGTAATAATACTAATACACGTATATAAAAAGCAATGTTTTTCAATTAGTAATTTGTATTTTAACATTATATAATTGCAAAGCTGTGAACGCAGACAGATCTTCATTATAAATAAATTCAGCGTAAATTAAGTCATTTGCAAAAAAAGCAAATTTGACAGAGGGACTGATGGACGGAAAACGAAGTACGTGTTGCGTAAGGGTTCCGTGTTAACATTTTAATTTACAGATCCCTAACAAATATTTAAATAATCATAACCATCGAAATGATTACAAGTGGACATCAAAATAATAATAACAATGAGATACGGTAAAATAAACTGTAGGTATACGGTGAATAACTAACGATCGGACTAAAGTTCTCTGATGACTCCAGCGCAGCCCGGTCAAGACAAAATTACACCAGATCAAAAGGTTTTTATTGATGTACTAGCTGCATCCCGTGACTATACCCACTTGAATCTATATATATAAAGTATCTTATACTAAGTTAGAATATAATCCACCCGCGTACTAAATTTTATTCAAATCAGTTCAGTAGTTTTTACTTGAAAGAATAACAAACATCCATCCATCCTTATAAACTTTCGCATAATAATATTAATAGGATATACAAGTTCTATTTTTATTATACGCGAGAAGCAAGATCAGGGCAAGATCAGGAACAATACCCAATAAATATATCTAAAACCTGCACTTCAAAAGAATGTAATCAGGAAAACACTGGAGATATCAGAGTTGTAACTCTGGCAGTACGAGTAAAAATATGTCATCTCATTAGTTATTTAATAAAAATAACCTTACATTATAATTCCTGAGATATAACACTTAAATATTACTACTAAATTGACACTGTATGTACATTACTATGGCACTGTTAATAACATAAAGTAAATTATAATAAGCGCTTTAAATGAAACAAGGAATGCTATAAATGGAATAAGAAAAATAAAAATGAAAGTCTCACTTTATGCCCAGACGTTTCATTTCAGGAAATTAAATTCGTAAAACAAGACGTCTCTAATAATGATATCATTATTGGAATGTTAATATTAAAGCCCATCAACGTTGAATTGATAAAACTAACGTTTACACTCCCCGTTTTTGCCTTCTTCGATAAGGAATCTCTATATTATATATACTAATCTACAATCTAAATATAATATTTCTGCTAGTAACAACAAAATATCAAGAGTCTTTTATTATTATTCAGTACTTTCGCACATACATACATTCATTTGTTTATTATACCTCTGATGTGTAATCCGAGCACCGATTTTATAATAATAATAATTGTTTTATTACACAATAATATTAAAACAGAGCGCGTTATAGTTTATTTATTAAAAGATTGGCGATGAAACACCACCTTAAGTTACCTAGTAAACTCAGTAAATGCGCCTTTACACCTAAACCTATTACGTAACATATTATGGCAACATATTCTTTTGGTTAATACATGAATACCTCTTAAGCATTTGTTTTTCCTCTATCCCTTTAGAGATATCTCTTAAAGTATTGCGTAAACCAGAAGTTCGAAACAGATATGTATCGGTAGGTACATTAATAACAGGTACTTTTAACACTATTCAACACAAAAACTACAAAATAATACTTTGAACATCTCACAATACATGGGAATTGACACGTCGCGACTCAGGTGTTCAAATCGCACGCGATAAGTCACGTTCGTCAGTCGCAATGTCGGATGGTAGTGGTAGGTCGTATCGGTGCAGTAAGATCGATGTGTCGGCCGTTCGCTTTAACACTTGCGACGCAGCCGCGCAAGCCAGTGTACAGCGCCGCGGGCAAACCAAGTGGTAGGGTTGGCGATCCTCCTGTGTATAACGAAAATGTCAGACTTTTTTGATATACACGATGATATTGAAATCCTTTTAAGAGATAGAATTTAACCAGTTCAAGTGAATATTTTTCGCAAAGAAACTTGGGTCGCAAAATAAAATATTTTGAAGAAAACTTGATAAGTGAACGCGCCTCTTTAGTTTAAAATATTCTCACTGGTAGAACACCCTCTTAAAAGATTTTATGCTAACCATTTTAATTACTTTGTGTAAATATCCATTTAATATTAAAAAATAATAATAAAATATATATAATCATATGATTATTTATATCTATAATAATAATTCATAAATTATTATATATTATAATTAAGTATATACTATTTGACATGACACCATTTAAAATTAAAGTAAAAACACGAAATTGAGATAAGAATTAGTTAAAAATGTTCATTGAAATGTTATATTATTATTATTTTAGCCATTTAATATCTTTAACAATACGAGTTTTATCCTATAATCTATTTTTTTAAGACAGATCTCAATATGTGCTTTAAAAACCCATCTTTCTCCAATTGACTATCTAATTTATATCAAATAAAAAATATAAAAAAATCTTTATAGATATATACAATAAAATATATTAAACACTATAAAATAATGCACTATATTATAGAACCTTAAAATATATACCGAGTGGATTTAATGTTAATTATTTTGATATAATACAGAAGGTATAAGCAATACTAGAAATTTAAAATTATTTTTAATTGGTAGTAGATGAAACTTTTTAACGATTTCAATTGAATCGTGTCTTGAAATAGAAATTGTTACCTGTTTCTCGTTGAATTCATGAGTTACTGGTTTATTATGGGTGTTTGCACATAGAAACTATATTTACGAGTATAGTTTATAAGCTTTACGAGACCCTAAAATCTGTTTCGTGAAATCAAGTGTTGTAACAGGAAATACAAATAATGGCCTGCGTTTTAAAACTTGGTTCATTATTAGGGATTTTATAATAAAATATAACATTTTAAATTCTGAGTAAACAATTGTAGAATATAATGTAGTAAATTATTACAATTAGTATAAAATTTTTACAGATAAAACGATTTACTAATTTACAAAAATTTACAATGCATTAATACAAAAAATATTATTTTGTATTAATGCATTGTATTAAATATAAAGAAGTGTTCATTTTATTATTTCTGTAATGGATAAACTAAAAAGTAATAGTTTTTTATATTAATAATCAAGTTTTTTATGATAATAATAATATGTATTATTATTTTCATTCATTATCATTAAGTAGTATCTAAAATATACGTATTAAACAAAAAAAAACATATGGATATGTAGTACTCACCAATCCATAACTTAGGATTCGATTTCGAAGGTACAAGAAGCGACTGCGAGTACCCTCTGACAGGCGACAGTTCGTCTACTTGCAACATTGCAAGCCTTTTCCGTCTCCTAACCGTCACAGTATGCCACATGCCATCATCCACTCGGACCTGTGACTCTATACACTGGAACCAGTCCTCCCGCATACCAGAGTTCAGCTCCTTGACATCTGTATCGGTGTATATGAGCTGCAGTTTACCATCGCTCAGTCCTACACCGATGAAGTCACGGGGCCGTATACCAATTTTCCGTCTCCACATCAGGAGACCGGAGTCATTATAAGTTCGAAATTTAATTTCATATCTAACACCTCGTGCACTGCGTATCCTAAAATTGAATTAACAATAAATTATTTTTATCCAATTGATTTATATATCATTATTGTTTCTATAAGCATATTGTCGATTAAACACTATTCTTAATAAAGTATGCAAGCACACATTCCGTTCAAATAAAACTGAGAAATATGACAAGCACACAAAATTGTATGATATTATTGCAAAAAGAAATTCTTATGCAGCGTTAAAATACATAATGAACCTAATCAACACATTTATTATGCGAAATATTAACGAATATTTAGAACAATGAAGCTGATTCCAAAACGCCGTTCTTTACTTCTATATATTATATATCTAAACTTTCAGTTACATCATTTTTTTATTCAAATATTTTACTGAATTAGGTGTTAGCTTGCGGAAGTCCGTATTACTGGTTATTTGAATAGAATTATTTTATTTAATTTCGCTACCATCAGTATGTGTGTGACTGCCAACACGCAAAAATTGGCTACCACTATTACTACCAGAAGTTCCACAACTTTCCATATTAGCCATCAATCTTCAATTGTTATTTTGTTCACGCACGTTTTGCAACACGTGTTTCACCTCTAAACGAACTTGCCTCGAACGAAGATGCCTCGTTTACAGGCAACCACATACATGCTAATGGTAGCGGAATTAAACAAAATAATTCTAATCGAATAATTAGTAAATTTATAAAATATTTAAGTATTTAATAGTCTATTAAATAAATATTTTAATTTTAGAAATAAAGTTAAAGAATGGCCGCCTTAGAATCGTTGATATTGAGGCAAATTTAATATTCGTAAATATTTACTATGAGTAGTATACAAAGCAAAAAGCTTGAACGAAAAATATATTGCAATCAACGACGCCTACAAACAGCAAAATATACACGAATAGCAATACGTTACTTTATTTCGCAAAATGCGTTTGAAGTCAATTCGTAGAACTAATAGTTCGTAGTATTTTTGTAGTATATTTTTTGTAGTTACTACATATTAAAGCCCGTATATCGATATATCTTAGGTTTAACTAGTAAATCTTGAGATTTACCAACATAAGTTGGTAAATATATGGATATTTGGACCGACTGAGTCCCGTGTATTAGCTATTACATTACAATGTATAACAATAATTATTTAATATCTGGAAATTAACAAATTTTTATATTTGTTTTTTAATACGCAGTTGTTTAACTCTACTATCTACTCTTGCGTATAATAATGATTGATATCAATTTCGATAGTATTCTAAATTTAAAAACCGTAGCGTATATATTGTGAGTTCATTCATTGTCCAAATCACAATACCTTCAATGTTTATGTAAAACTTTTAAATCATGAGATTATTATCATTAAAACTTTTTTTATGAATTACACTATGGGCTTGCTAACAGTATAAACATGGAAATGAGTCTGTTTTGTGATATTTTCTTTACAGAAAAATCGAACCATTAAAATAATATTTAATGGAAAAGATGGCTAAATCCCAAAACCAAATATGGGCAAAAACATTATTCGTAATAAACATAACAATTTAAAAAATATACAAGTTCAAAACTACGCTATCAGCAACCAGTATTTCCCATTTACTTATGTTAACGTGTTTATGCAAATGCATAAACTTCGGCTTAACTTATTTGATTCGCTCTGAATCTACTTCTAAAGTCTAACCTAAGAGAAGCAAACGAATTTGTGCTGTGTTATATAAGCAAATAAGATAAAAATAAAATTAGTTTTGCGTGAAAAATCTTAAATTTAATATATAAACTTTAGTGATATAAAGTATAGATTAAAGACATTTATAAATACTATTCTAAAATATTTACATTAATAAAATCACCAATAATAAACAAAAAAGATTAAAAAAAACATCGATAATTTTTAAAAACATTTCGTGACCAGGAAAAATGTTCTAAAAACAATTCTTCGTAGACTGTGAAGTATACGTTTATTATTATTTATTATCACACTAATTCAATAAGAAAATAAATTTACTTTAAGAATCTGTCAATTCTTTTTTAATAATGATTCTCTTTAAGAATGCAGTGAGTAATTTGAATTTAAATACCTTTTTTGTTCTAAATTCTAAATAACTTATAAGACGTAATACTCAAGTACAATAAATTAAATTAAATTCATATAATTCGGACTACGGTATCTTTATAAAAATTAGATGCTATTATACTCTTATTTTTGTCTACTTTAATACGTAAATGCAAATCTAATTACATGAATAAAAAAAATCCAAGAAATGTTTCGATCGATCGATCGATTTGATTGAAATTCTCTTGAATGAATACTGGCACTGGTATACCAACATTCATAACGCGAATCTATATCGTTATGTATAATATTATAAAATTTTAATATAAGATTGCATTCGACTCTTGGACAAACCTGTCCATGATAATATCATTTATCACATAAATATCTACAAGTATAATACGAGTATACTTTTGTATTCCTGTCGCTACAATACAATGCTATTGTGAAAAATATTAATACCATTATTGTATTTAAAATTCGGCCTACTATGTCTAAATTACACATAAGTGGTACAATTTCATGACGTTATCAACTATTCATGGTCATGAAACAATAAAGCAGCCTAATGTCCCCTACATTTACTAAAACTACGTAACAAAGAATAATATCGTAGAAATTTACCTAAACTAAGCATTTTAAGCATTTAACGTATATTTTCTCTCGTCCATCGTATGTTATCTTACATCATAGTGCCCCTTACCAACATTTTTGTTAGTATGTAAGCTAGAAACACATGAATTTTGTTAGTAATTAGTTTAATATGTGAAATAAAAAGTTCAAAGTTCTAGTTGAGAATACAATAGAAAATAGAAACTGACATAATTAATAACACTTCTTTACAAAATAAGGAAAATATTATAGTAGAAAATTATATCAGTTTTTTAAAGATTTCAAGTATATTGAAAAACAATGGAGATCAAAAACCACCACATTTTAAACCAAATACAATTAGAAATAATTACGTTTTTTTTTTTATTTTATAATAAAAAATCTGTTCTAACTGTATTACTCTTTGAAATAAAAATTAAAGGCCATTAATATAACGGCCAGTATACATAAAAATGTATAGTCTATCTATATTCACATGGCACGTCCCTTCAACCTTTTACTTCAATGTTTGTGACCACGTCTCCAGTAGCGGTGAGCCATAGGAGAGTAATATACCTTGGTCGAAACTTTGTAAATATTTAATCATCAATTTTTAATTCTTTCGATTTTGAAGGGGCATGCCATGTTATCGTAGACAATCTATACCTATTGTAACTCCATAGGAAGAACAAGAAAAATGTTCATATTCTATCATCATCACATCAGCCATTAACTGTCCACTGCTGAACATAAGTCTCACCCATAAGAGGGTTTTGCTAGTAGTCGCCACGCTTGGCAGACGGGTTGGCAACCGCAGTTAGACTTTGCTGATGTTTTAAGAGGGATGCTCCATCCCTCGATCATTAAATTTCCTTAGTTGCCTCTTACAACACTCACGGGAAAGGAAAGCGTGGCCTATTGTATTGTATTATAAGTTAGTAATTATTATGATAACAATAATAGCAGTAATTATAGGCTATTAACTTTCTCGAGTAGTTTCAACTTCATAACAATACAGTAAAACAATCGTTAAATACATTAATAAATAGCCACCGCAAAATGTAGCCAGCCCAGAAATAGGTTACCCGTCTCCTACCCGACTAGCTTTTAATTTGTCAGTAAAACAATTAAGTCACGAATTACGAGTGGCACGAACCACTGAATGTACTGAATGTTACGAATTAAAAGTTAATAATATATTTTACGCTATTAATTATACTTTATATTTATGTAAATAGTGGTCAAAGTAGAAAGGAGTTAAGTTAGTGAATAAAGCGTGATGGTAACACAAAAAAATTAGAAATATGCGTTTTCTTTTTAACCAACTTTATAAAAGTGAAGGTTTTTATTTAATTAATCTGCATGTTTATTATGGGATACCTTGGCCAAATGTAAACCTTTTTCCAATTGTTAAGAGTAACATGCCCCTAGTTTGGTCCTTTAATAGATTTGTCATGATTGAAGTCTGTCATTTATAATAATATATATAAGCTTTTACTACTTGTAAGTATTGGATTAATATTAAATATTACTTAATATGTAGATAATTCTTTCGTAACTAATTAATGTACTTTTAGAAATATATATGTTGTATATACGACTACATTTAGTCAACATAACCCTTATTTGAAAACGTCAAAGGTTAATAAAACCCTCCAACCACTTTAGTAAGTTCTAGGTATTGAAGCAGTTTGTTACTTTTATTCGAGGTAAATTTTTAATTTGTGTGAAAATGAGGAACACACTAAGTATGTTTCTTGGAGGTTTTACACTTTTATAAATATTTAATATACTTCGATTATTACAATACACATTGAGTTTAGGTATCTGAACATTAATGACTTAACAATTCACTGCCTAGATACCTTGTGCTAATTCAATACAGGTTCAATGTAGGTCAACCACTGTTTACGTATTCTGAATGTATTGAATGATTACATTTATTTCTAATAATGTTGAAATAGTACAAAACAAACTCGCTGTCTGCATTTATCTGTTTCTCCACCCGATTACTTCTTTTAAACTACGTAACGCTTGTGATACGGGCTTCACTATTATGTAATTTATTTACGAAAGGATAACACTTTATGTTATTTTAGATAAATTCTATGTTTTATAATTAAGTAGCCAAACATTTATCTTTATGGCTTACAGTGACTAAATCCTAAGAGATACATCAAAATAAGGCACTGTACGAACACAATTACTAAAGCGGGGCATGTTACGATTATATTACTATTTATTATAAAGTATAATATTTGAAAATATGACTGTATTTTGATTAAATAAAAACATACTTAAATAATATATCTATTGATTATTGTTTCATAACTAATTAAAATCTGAAACTAATACTAGAATTTTATACTGTATTAAAAAAGTTGAAACCGCTCGGTACATCATCATTGGTACATATTACAAATGAAATGGCTCTAAAACAATTTACACTAACTGACACTTACCTTCGATTTCCTTTACTCCTATACGAATAATAATTGTTTCCGTCGAACGTAATCGGCGTTCTGTCATTGAGCATTGCTACGTTAAGCTGAATCTCACAGTTCCTGCCCTCGTAGCCCTCTGGGCATATACATTTGTATTCATTTAAGAGCGGTATACATGATCCATTGTTCTTGCAGGGGGTTAAACCTAATTAAATTTTATTTTCATTAATTACAAAGTTAGAAATTGTACATTTAGTCTATATTCTTAAGTCGAAAGTATTCACAATTATCTAAAGTAATTACGAGCCTGTATCATTGCGAAATATAGATGTAATTAATTTTAATACTAATGGTAGGACAATTAATTAAACATTTTTTATATTTGCAGTCCTTTTTTGAATATCTAATTAGATAATCTAAGACGACCCTTTGTGAATATACTCATATTTCTTTATGATTCGTCATAAACCTCTGAATGGTGAAGAATAACACCTGAGTCTTCAAGAATGGCAAGGCATAAGGGGTATCATGGGCGAAACAGTACACTCTGTTATGTCCATGGTACTGCTCATGTCTATAGGCGACTGTTACCACAGTCAGCTTGTTTGCCATTCTAAGTTGTATAAAACAAAAAAACAACAGAGATATAACTTCTAAAATGTTTGCACGCTACTGGAATTTTATTACGTATACTTTAGTTAAAATATCAGTGTGTGCTCACTTCTGTAAACCCAGATGGTGGTAGTCACTAGCCCTACGATAACTACTAATATCTTTTAATTTCAATTCAGGACAATTTTAGCTGTATTGTATATGCATCGAGGGATTTTTTTTTAAATAGAATTAAAACGTATAATAACAACATAAAAATTAAGTAAAGAAATCATGATCACAAATAACAATTTCAATGTTCTGTCTACTATATTAGAACGACATGATAATGTGTTATAATGATAACTTTCCAAAAATATACTCACTCTATTTTATTAGACACATACACATTCTCTGGATATTAATTACATACATTCACTACTTCGGGGGTCAAATTAACAAGAAATGTGTCAGAGAAATTAATATTTCACACTGGGTCAACACTTAAAACAAAGTTTAATTCATAAAGTTTTAATGTAAAGTCCAATTACTATAGTATACAAATAATATACATTAAAACTTTGTGAGACCTAAAATAAAATTATACATATAACTTACCATATCTGGTAGAGAATGCCATATGGCATTAATCTCGCCATTTGTACAAAATTTTATTGTGCAATAAAGAATAAATAAATAAATAAATATAACTTACCATCTCCACAGGGCGGCCCAGTGTATTTTGTAACACCACTAGTGGCGCAAGGCAGCCTATCTTCTTCCTGCATAATTGCACATTTAGCAGTCTCGCCACTATACAAAGATAATGGTATACCATTTACGAAGACCTGTTGCACTGCTCCTATGAAACTGCTGGTCACACCTGACATTTTGTGGGGGCGGATGTATGCCCTGGAAAAACAGGAAAGCGTGAGTCGGGACAAATTAATGAACAATGTTTTCATTAATGAGGTATCTATTGATATATACATTTATCTGTTGATCTATTTATATTTGTATTATCACTGTTACTTCGCAATCTATACTAATATTTAAAAGACGAAAGACAAAGAAAGCTATATTATTAGCGAGTTATATAGATTTTAGTTCCAGCATAGAATAGGCCGCCCCTTCCTTTCCCGTGGCTGTTGCAAGAGGTCACTAAGAGAGGGCGAGAAATGGGCAGCAATGGACAGTTAAAAGCTAATATAATAATGATGATGAATATAGACTTTCGAAAATTATATATTATTTTCGAAAATTCTATCTATCCGTGCGTAGCCGGGCCGGATCGTTATTTTTTTAATAAATATAATAATGTATACATGTAAAATTTTGTCGCAGAATTTAATACACCCTTTTTGAAGAACCCTATACTATAGTCTCTAGATTAAACCTCGGTAGTAGGAGCTCATTCCACAGCTTGAGCTTTGGTGGGAGAAAATTTTTCTGGAACCGTACTATACCTACGTGACCATTTAGAATCAAGCGTGTGAGGATGAATTCCCACACTGGCGGGCAGTGCTATGATAAAAGATGGCATCATTTCAATAATTATGATGAACTTAGTTTTATTATAATATTTTCCTAGTATGTTAAATTATTATTTTTTACAAAATATTTTTTACCGAATAAAAAATGTACTAATATGATATTAATTGAATTCTATTCAAAATATTAATTAAATTAAAATAAAGATCATGATGACTTGGCTTGGTAAAATAACTGTAATTTAAAACTTATAATCATTGTTCTAATAAATGTTGGTACGAATAAAAGAAATAAACATATATGTGTTATCATTGCACGTGTATTAGTTTTGGGATCGGATCAGTATATCTTTTACTTCCACATATTCCTATTAGCTATCATGTTTGGGCTCACTGCTCTATATTTTACATAAAATTTATCCATTTTTTCTTCAGTTTACTCCTCACTTTATATAATACATCGACGTTCATATCTAAAAAATTACTTTAAAACGTGACTTTCATTCCTCCAATTTATATGTCCAAAACAAGATAATTTCTCATACATACTCAAGTTTAAATCAAAATAACTTCAATCGGGCTTCTAAATTCCAAAGAATATCTTATGTTACTAATAAAACTATGTCTGTAGTATATGAGATATTTAAGAAAAAAATATATAATTTTTTCTTAAATATATATTTATTGATATATCGCATACTTCATTAAATGCGCAATAAATTTGAGAACGAAATGAAGTACTTAAGTGGTAAGTATCAAAATAAAAGTAGTGTAGTGTGTTACTCCACAACCTACACTAAATCAATTCATGATTATATTATTGTGATGCGAAATACAACAGCAATAGTGGTCTCCCACTGTTATCGTTGTATCGTCTATTGATAAAATTATTATCATATTGTTGCTGTCCTATACCACTCCTATTCACACATTCCTTGCATTTGGATGGATTGATTGGATGTATCATTTGGATTTGTCATACTATCTAGTAGGGAGTCATTCTACACTCGTTTCTACAATCTACGTATTCTATAATCGCCACTCAAAAGTTTTTCTTCTCTTATATCTTCTTTAAACATTATATTTGGCCCATCACCACCTCCGTTTAATGTTCTTTCTATATCAAGTTGTATCGGCGACTTTAGCTCTTCTGCAGATATCCTCATTTCAGATTCTATCACGCACTAAATATACATAGCTTGCTGAGAAATTCAAAACTAGTTTATAAAGTCTATATTGTAATTCCATGTTTCGGTAACGTAAATTATCACTGACAATACATATTAGTTAAAGATTTTCATCTTCAAACTTTATGATAATTTGAAAGCTAATCTGTGGCATAGTATCCAGAACACTACGTAAATATCAACTGAACTCTTAATTGACATCAGTTATTTGCATTTATAAACTTAACTACTGAACCGATTTTTATAACATTTCTATGGAATTAATCTGCAAGTATATCCTTTCAGATAAAAAAGCAACCAAATTGAGAACCTCCTATATATATATATATATATATATATATATATATATATATATATATATATATATATATATATACGCGTAATGTTTTCTAATAATATGAATATTATTATTATATATATGTTAAAATATACATGTAAAATACTCACGGCAGAGATCCAATAAATAGTGGTAATGTAAGTTCCAGGTGCGTTAGTGGTGAAGGTGAATGTCCTTTTTGTGTAGGATGATGATCTAGTTGTAAGCTGCCATGACGACCTGCGCGGGCCACGCGAGCACGATGCCACCGGCCTTTGATTATTGGTACAGGAGATCTGATAGAATAAGTGATATTTTTTATTTCTCTTCACAAAAGCAATACTTAATAGCTTAAAATGTTTATTTGATTACAATTATTTTGTTCAATTCCGCTACCATTAGTATGTACGTAACTACCGATACTTGAAGATTGGCTACCACAATTACGAAAGTTCCAAAAGCACCTATATTAGCCATGAATCTTCGACTGCAACTTTGTTCGCGTGGTAATGGTAGAGTAATAGTGATGGTCAATCTTCGAGTATTGGCAGTCGCACACATACTAATAGTAGCGGAATTAATCAAAATAATTCTAATCAAATAACTAGTAATATGAGTTTCCGCAAGATTCAAAAAAGTACTTAATAGCTTAAAATTAAATACCATTAAATTTGTGCAACTGTTGTCGTAAGATTGGTGTCTATTGGTTTACGTTTAGATAAAATATATGTTACAGGTTACATTTGATCTATCGCCAATAGGCAAACTACCATCCTTGCAAGAAAAAACATGAAAAATGCTGCGTGAATTTTAACAGACAAAATCATAATTCCTTTATAATAATAAAAACTAAAAGAAAAATTACTTAAATATAATTCTGGCGCGGAATATTTTTCATTTGATTCGCCAATAACGAAAAATTCATCGCATCAATCACACAACTTATTAATCATAAATATTAATATTTTTCTAGTTCTAATTATATAAATAATAAAATATTTCTACACTATATCTCGCTCTTTCAAATTACTTTAGAATTTAAAAAGAACCTTTCTTTTTAATAAACATTATTTCGTAAATGAGACCGTTTACTTACGTGATATTAGCAATCCCGCTTCCCAAGTTGTACCTAAACTGTAGGTATCCATTAACTAAGTTAATCGCTATGAAATCTCCTTTGGCTTTATTAGACTGGCCTGTGTAGAGGAGCATCCCGGAGAAGCGATTCGTTAAAAACCAGATTTCGATGCGGAACGCCTTTCCTAACCCCTCGAGTGGTGGTAATTCGATGTAGCTCGTTCCGTTAAATTGAGGGGACCACGTCTCTTGTACTACGTTTACATCTGTAAGCAAATAAAAAGAATCAAATTAAGTGGGAGACCGAAGCAATTTTTCAAGACGGAAGTTAATCTTCGGGAGTCATTACCGAGTAGCGTAACAAAATTGTATTGGAATAAATGTAAATATAAATATTCTACAATAAAATCTCGTATTTATAAACACATCATCAGATGATTATGACATAGAAACCTAGTATAATATTACAAAAAACAGAAAACTAAATTTGTTATTAGTCTTTCAGATTAATATTATTCTTTTTTAACATTATTAATATCGTATTATTATAAAGATATTACTTAAGATCTATATGAACTGACTCACCGTTATTACAAGTATTTCCATTGGAACCAATTTCACCGCCAAACAAACACCGACACACATATCCTCCCTCTGATCCAATGTCACACAATAGCCCCTCATCATATCCACAGGGATTCGACTCGCATGGATCTAATCTCTCGTCACAATTGCCTCCTTGAAATCCGATAGGGCAGATACAAGTGTATTCGGTCGCCGACCCATCAACTATACTACACGTGGCGCCATTCTTGCATGGAACACTCATACACGGATTCGATTGGCACTCCCTGACATTTTCTATGGAAACTACTAATGAGTCTGGACGGCCCAATTTCTTTGTTACTTGATGACGTATTATCCTCAAATACTTCACGCACCCAATAAATCCGCTTCGAGTGCCAATATTATCGAAAACCCTGGACCAAGAAATGATGTAAAGGATTGATTATTAGACTTCGAGTAATACACAAATATTGGTATATTACCAAATACAACAATAATAAAAGTTGAGATTTATTTACAATACAACGACACAAAAAATAGATCAGTTTAATTCATTTATTTATGTTCGTTCCACATACTTTACACAATAGGTAGAGATTTTAATTTGACAATTCATCTAATAAAATGTATAATATAATAGAGCTCAAAGGTTAAATTTATAAGTAATCATAAATTTAACTTCACTATTCTAAAACAATAATCTGTAGTTCTAGTCATTACCTTGAATAATTAGTAGGCACGCTACCAACATAAGCATCTTCCGCTAAATCTAAGGCTTTCAGATGTCCCGTAGACTGGCCTGCTACGTCTTCCATATCATCGACGGATAAAATACCATCACGGTGATATCTTTTTGCGGATACTTTATGATACTCGTTCAATGTTATTTTTTCGAGAGACGTCAGAACTATTACTCCATTACCAAGATTATACCTAAATAAAACAATTATAATTATTTTGAAGTCTAAAGTAGGGAGGAATTCTGATTAAAAAGAGACGATGTCAAACTGAAATGTAAATTAATATTTTTGTAAATATAATGGGAAATTTTGAAACCTGTACTCACCTAAATTCTAAATATCCATTGACCAGAGCAAGAGAAACAAAATCACCAGTACCATCGTATTTCTGTTGATTATACAATATGATTCCATTTTCCGAGAAAGTTTTGAACTCTATGTCGATGTTCAACTTATGGTAAGCTTTCAAAGGTTTCAAACGTATATATGATGAACCGTCAAAGAAAGGAGTCTCAATATATGATCCTAGGAGTCCATCTTTTATGAGAGATTCACAGTTGAGTCCTGTATATGGACCAGAACATACGCATGTGTATGTGGAGCCAGGTAGATCGATGCACGTGCCAAGATTGTAACAAGGCTCGGATAAACATGCGCTATATTCCTCGGTAGTTTCTTGCGTTGCTTGCTCTGTTAAACAAAATATTATGCGTAACCAATAATTGTAAAGCAGAACAACATACACCTGTTGATAAGTTATGTAAAAACTAAAATGAGAAAATTATTTTAATTATTACAACTTGCTCATATTCGTACATAACTCTGATACAACGTAAACTACAATTGCTTACTTTTACCGTATACTCAAAAAATCGTCAGTGGGTATCTATTCCCTAAATTTACTTACTTACACTCTTTGTAAATATATATTATGGATGAACTAAAAAGAGATTAATGGTAGAGAAAAACATAATATAACGACCTCAAATTTTAATTTTTCTTATGCTACATAATTATGTAGGACAAGTGATAAAAACATGATAAGAGCAGAACATTGAACATTATGTAAAAGTAACCATTCTATATACAAGTATACCTACAGAATATAACTATAAGAAACCTTAAATATACTTTTTGTGTAGTTTTTTATAGAGGTTCTTATGTGGCTTCTATTGTTACTGCTGTAAAGACAAATACTGTCAAGGTACTATTCTTTTAAATAAGTTAAAATGTAGTAACGCAATGTAAAATTATAACATCTTAATATAGGTATATAATTATACATACAGTATCTAATATTTACAGATATTAAATTTCTCGCTTAGCTGGTAAGAATTATTAATTTTTATACCCATATAGGATGCGTGCTTTAAAGTGTTTATAGATTACACGGCCCATAATAATCCTACTTATTACCATATCAAACCAAAAAATAGATTGAACAATATAAAGTGTGAGCCAAAGCGAGGTATTCGTAGAGGTATCTACAAATGTTAAATTTTGTAATGTAATAACCCATCACTACTTACCCACACAAGCTTTCCTGTGCACCGTGGGCGCATACCCAGGTCTACACACACAACCTCCATGCGCGCATTGTGCTCCAGGTAATGCAGCACAGTCATTATCATCAGCGCATAAATCACCCAGTAAAGCGCCCACTGCGCCAACAGTAGCCGTTGTTGCTGTTTGGGAACCTATTTATATTAAAAGTTACTATTATAAGTAAATCAATAAAAGCCTAATAAATAAAACAATTATATTACATCTAAATGACTATATTCACCATACTGTAAGTGTATCAGAGATGAGTATCTACCTAAAATACACAACTCATTATGACCCTACTTAGCTTAAATAAATGTAAAATTATTCATCATTATTATAAAGAAAGATCGAGACGAACATGTCTGATGCCTTGTTCCTTCTTGCCTGTGGTAGCGTAAACAAAATTGCGGAACCAATTATTATATATCTGCTTTCAAACCGCTAACACTCTTTATAAAATAATTGAATTTACTTTAATCAAGGTATTTGATTAAATGATTATAATTCAAGATAGAACACTAAAAGGGCACCATTCGACTACTTATTGATGTTGAATTGAACGTAGCACTCAACTTGTCCAATAAATGGATTGTTCGTGCACAATGTCAATGACAGAGCAAAGACAATCTAGTAGCGTAGTGTAATAGTGTAGTGTTAATACAGTTTTATACAGTTTGTTATTGATTTTATTGTTAATAAAGTAAATATTAAAGTAACATTGTAAAATTTACTACCACTTTTTTATTTATTTAATACTAGCTGTATCTTGCAGCTTCAGCCGCGTAACAAAATGCGTTCAGCAGTTTTTGCATGAAAGAAGAACATTTGCATGAATTAATTACTGCAAACTTTTCTATTTATAATATCAATAATAATAATTTTAATACTTCTGAGTTTATGAAATAGTTAATCAACATAACTTTATTATTATATTTTCTTTTTTAATTTATTTTATTTTATATTAGAATAATAAATAAGCTGACAATCTACGTGATAGAAAATGCTAACTATCGCCTGTAAAAATAAACAGTATCATTGATATAACAGAGTATACTGTATCATCCACGATACCCTTCATGCATTGCCATTCCTGAGGACTATAGTGTTATACCTCAATACCCTGTAATTTCATTAGCATGAATGGGACAGAGATACTCACGACTTTTATACAAAGTCTCCATATTATTTTACATAATCAACGTTCATTATACTCGTATATAAATAATAATTAGATAAAATGTTACAGATATGTGTAAATAAAATATATAAGCTAAATGTTATGTAGAGAAAATATATTAAATAAACATGATACGTGACGATCATGCAATTACGCGACAACCAATCGATGTCGAAAACTTCTGGTGATTTATGTTACGAACTTTCTTTGGTGCTTATAACTTTGAGATGGGACTCATGAGGAAGACAAAAGTTCTCATAATAACGTTAATTTGTTACACGTTAATTATAATTACTCATAAAGGGAATTGATGCTTATTTATTTTTAAATTTAGTAAACAATGTGAGAATAAAATGGCTTTGTTACTTAAAATTCAGAAACTTCGCAAACAAAGCGCTGCATAAAATGTAAACTTAACGATTCAATATTGACACGTCAATTCCGTAGGATGAGAGAGCAAATAGTCCGCTCACCCGTTCTGCAATTTATATTTGCATACATCACGTTTAGATTTTTTCATTTAAATTAATTCATATAAGTATAAAGCGCTGTAACAAATAGTAGAAAGAAGACAGGTAAAGATATTCCACTGATATTATATTTTTCGTCTTAAATGTATTGATATCTTTATTTATGAATAATATTATCATCATCATGATTATCTCAGCCATTAACTATTTACTGCTGAAGATAGCCTTCCCCCATAAGAGGGGCGGAGGGGCGATAGTTACTACACTTGACATTTGTTTTATAAACGCAAAAAAAATCAATAAAAAATAAAAAATATTCTGTATTACAGTAACATAATCTATAAAAAAAAACGTCCTTATTGACAAAACTAATTATCAGTAGTGCATTTAAATAAAATAGATGAAATGTAAAATCGTTGTTATGTAAACATGACTGTCATAGTCAACGTTGTCGAACTATTATTACCGTTACAAATCAACCATCATTATGTAGGAAAATATTGATACTGATAACACATTGAAATATTATTCAGGGACGGGCCACGTCATTTACATCAGGGGTGGGCAACAATTCTATCGCGATAAAAATTTTTGTCGCTCCAAAAGTACCGGGAAAATTTTAATGTGTTTGAAATTTGAACGCAACATGAATAAATAAAAAAAAAAAAATATTTTGACCAGCTCTAAAATTAAACCGGTATTTTTAATAGTTGAATCTTTGATATAGCTGTTATTGATTTAGTTTAAAATAATATATATGTTTATTTGTTTATGTATTAATAGTTGTAGCACTTCAGCTGCCCGCTAACGAAATGCTTTCCTATTGTACTGGGTTGACTGTCCACCCTTGCTCACAATATTTATAAATACATTATTTTATATGTAACTTACAAGAGCAATAAAGAATATATAAAATATTAATCTAAAAGTTAATAGATTTTTACTATAAAAAGTAGATATTAAAGCATAAAAGTTGCCTACCCCTGATATAGATAATCAATACTAACAAAAACCTACATAAAAACTTACCTTTAAATTTCTGCCCAGACATCACACTATCGAAATCACTTGGCGTTTCTTTTCTCGTCCAGTCATATTTGTTATAATATTTGTCAGGATTTAATAAATGCCTAGTCGATTTGGAAGCGGCCCCATCGTCTTGTTGGGTGAACTGTATAGGTGACGAAGGTCTCGGGGGGCCGGCGGTGCCAGCTATTTCGCTCAACTTACAGGGGCCAAAGGCTTGAACTACTATATCTTCTTGCGTGCGACACGCTTGCAACTTGAGGTGGCACTCTGATTCATAAGTTTTACTATCACTGCCGCAAACCTGTGAGTTTTCTTATATTTTATTTTCAATACTTCCCACTGTTACTTTCTAAACATTTGAGCATTATTAGCTAAAGAAAATACAGTAAAAAGTAACCAATTCTTTACACCAACTTTATTGGTAGGTGGTATGTTTATTATTTTGACAATTTTCGCTATTTTAAGATTAAGATTTTGCTGCGCAAAAAATAGCAGTTTCAATCATGACAAAATTATTACGGGACCAAGAAAGGAGTAAACCCTGACAAATAAAATTATCAAGATCGGTTCAGAATTGGGGATGAGATCGCATTATCGCGTATCTTACGCACAAAAAAATATAGGAGAATTGAAAACATTCTCCTTTTAGCAGTTTTCAAAATAAATACTGTATCATAGTATTAAAGGATCAAATACACAACTATTTTACTGAAAATTGTAACTAAATAGAAAACATTTTCATCTGGATTAAACATAAATTGTTATTGTTTAAAAGTATATAAATATTTATGCTATTTTTACCAGATATTTAATTAGAATTAATTTGTTTAACATATAAATATATTTATAAAATATATATTTATTTAGTTTTACGTACTAATGGTATCAGAATTATGCAAAAAAATTTAAATCAACTCTAGTGACTAGACTTCCGCAACTTATTTCAGTAAAACATTTACCGAAGCTGAAAAACTAATAAATACATATGACGACTGATTAAACGGAATTAACTTGTAACAGGTAGGAAAGTATAAAAATATATTACATGATTTAAAATACAGTAAGATATCATATATATGTCATACTATTATGTTACATTGAGATCAGTTTTTATATATAAACTTACCAGCATATTTGTGTCACTGTCGGGACAAGGTGCGGCTGCACATTCGCAGAGAGCACCACCGGTACGCTCTGTACACACGGCGCCGAAGTAACAGGACAGCTCCGTACACGATGATACCACACCGCCAGTTTCAGCTGTCCAATCAAAAACTATTATACATCTTGTAGTTTGTTACATCTATCTTCACACCAAGTTACTTGTGGAATAAGCACAGGGAAAGTAGTGCCAAAGGCTTCTATTCTTACATTTTTATATTATATCTCACGCATGTTTACTGGTTGATCATGCATAGATAGATATAGAAAAATACGATTTTGTTTATTTTCCTTAGAGCTTGGGAGCTCTAAAAAAAGACCTTAAAATTTTATTATTATAATTACAGTACTCTTGTGTAATTGGCTGAATGTATATGAAAATATATCATTTTAATAAAATATCAAATATTTTGAGAACATTTAAAATAGCACCTTGTTTATCTAAAAATTTTAATATAATTTTTTGGAAGAAACAATAAAGAGTATCTAATATTGATTAATTAATTTAATAAATAGGAAAATAGTCAATTTGGAAATTCTCAAACCGATTTAAAACTCTCGTATGTGCTTCAATACTAAACCACAATCTTCTGATTCTCCATTGAAATTGGAATTAATTAAGTTGTGTGGAGGATTAAGGAGCGTAATATTCTCTATGTTGATTATCTTATGAGGTGTATCATGTTTCTGTAGAGGAATAATATATACGACTTATTATATTATTTAGTCACAGATATGAAGCAAAAGACATTAAGTCAACATGGAAGCTAATGGGGATCCCTGTGATCTTCACTTAAGTAACTAAATAAATACGAGTATGTTTATTATTATTTAACAATGTATTATATATTACTCTATTTTTAAAACCACTAAATAAATATATGCCTATTTGTTAAGTGATAATGGTAGTCTGTTCATGTTTACAGTATATCACCCATCTTTAAAGAAACCTGTTTACTCTTATTATGAAAAGCTTTAAGCTGTTCTCTTGGGAATATGTTGAATATAATGCTGAATCCATAAACCATCACAAAAGTCGACAATAATAGACTTAAATACCTTGTACTTATTGATTCCCTGTAGATTTTGTAATCCTTATCCATTACAGAGCTCACTGTCAATCCACATTTCATTGATAATCTTATTTTTTATGTAATTAAATTTTTAAAAAAACATCATTTAACTAAACTTTTGTTTTATTATTAATAATGGTATTAATTGATATCTTTATTATCATTTAACTTAAATTATTCCGAGAGAAAGGAAACACTATGACGCAAAGCATTGGACGCCTCCTGGAGAAGACTTCCGGATGAAGTCGAAACAATTTTCGGAAACGACAAACATAGTAAGTTTATAAAATTCCGGTTGTGTATGTACACATACATCTTTATTATTCTTAGCAATATCATAAATGAAAAAAATATTATTTTTTATTTCCTCTTGGTAGCCTTACCAATCGTCATAGAATTTAGCATAATCTGTACATAATATTCTAATAGATAAGCTAGCAGATTATTTTATATCCCTATCATAAGGAAGACTTCGCGAGTATAGCTACCATTCGTAACAACAACAATATTGTAATATGTACAAATAATGTATTAATATATTTACATTATTGTCATTGTAAGTATAGTAATTATAATAACTGTTTGTATGTATAATTAAGTTTATTATTGTAATCTTTTGGAGGAAACAATAAAGAGTATCTATCTATCTATATGTTAGTAATAATGCTAATACAATGTCAATACTAATATAAATATTAGATTAGTCTCCTGAAATCTGTATGTTAAAGCTACCAGATTAATGAATATTCTTTTCCACTTAACAACCAACATGTAGCACTAATTCTTACTTTGTACACTTTAATATAAACACATTTCCCGTAAGGCAGTTAATACAAAACCACAAACTTTTACTTAAACAATCCTTATAGCCCCTCACATCCTTCTCATCTATACTAAATAAAGTTGTAAACTTCTAAACTTTGCTCAGTAAGAATTTCCTTTATATGCACACGTAAGACTTCCTCTAGCCACACCCTAAAAGCTAAGCCGCTCTGTACTCTACGGCTGCAATGTTTAAATATTCATTTCTTTTACGAAATATAAGAAAAGCTATAGAGGTATAAAGTATACTAGCTGCCGAATAATTTTCACACGATATCGTCTATTAAAAATTTTGTAAACAACAGCCTTCAGTCTATATTTTTCCAGTTTTTTTAAACTACATAAACCAAAAATTACCTTATACATGTTTCCAAAATTAATCCAATTATATATATATATATATATATATATATATATATATATATATATATATATATATATATATATATATATATATATATTGGATTATAGTAATATGGGATGGTATTAACTTTTTAAATAAAAGTTAATGTACTATGAACAAAATACTGAATAGATGGCATATCAAATGCTGAACTGAGCATAAAATTGGACACCGTAGCGAATGCTAAACGAACAAATTAATAAATGAACAGATTTGTAAGAGGATGAATTAATGAAGAGATAAAGACTTGAAAAAGTGGATCCTTGTCAATGGTTGCACGAACTCTTATTCTTTTATCTTATACTTTTTCCTCCAGCAGAATATTAGAGCTGTAGTAATTTATTTGGCTGCAAGATACATGCTGAGTCAGACATCTGTTATAACTTACATAGATACCTACTGTAATAATGTTTTTCCTTTTGTATCTCATTCTACTTATACCTACCTAACTAATTTTAAAAGACGTACCGTAATATTTGTAATTATTATATATCTAAATCTATTACTTCTTTCTTTGATGGCAGTGATGGCTGGCTCATCCGTCATACTCGTGAACGGGTGCTGCTTGTAGGGACTGGTCTGCTCTAATCACTATGACTGATTTCCTCTTATTAATTGTTTAACCAGTTGGTTATGTATTCAATATTTTTTCTTTTTGAGTATTTAATTGAATTAGTGCTAATTGGTGGTTTGTATTCACACAATTAAACTTAAAAATGTAAAGTAATAATAAAATTATTTAAAAGAGCAACACGCAAGTTTCTTGCTCGTTCTTCTTGTGATGAGACAGCTTTCCGAACGAGCGGTAGATTAAAAAAAATGTAATGACTTTTCAAAAGTGCTTCAATGTAAGTTTATTTGAATAAATGATTTCTATTCTATTCTATTCTATTCTTTTTACATTTGTTTTGCTATATTTATTTATATTGTTAAATATAAATTAATATGCTATCCGGACTTACACTATACAAGTATGGATGTCAGGTACGTATTCCAAGCGTATTATATTTTAGGTGGTTTAAATTTGTTTCTGGTTACGTAACCCTATTTTTTATTGTCTGCTAATTATCTAATGAAAATTCTACTTTTTGTCATTTCAATAATGTGCATATTGGAGAATGTCTCATTGTCCATATTAATTGAAATCAAATTAATCACAAGCACAGTTAGAATTTAACAATCATTACTAAAAAAAGGTATGTTATGAACAAACACCTATTTTAATGTACTGAAACTTTGTTCGACAATATAGTACAATAAAGAATAAAAAGTATACTTACGGTCAGAACATCCATTAGGACCAAGCCTTCGTCGATGATCAGCGCACACAGTACACTTCTGTCCTTGGACTCCATTTCGACAAACGCAACGCCCTGTCATCTGTTCACAGTCTTCTCTTACGGATCCAAATGCGGAACATCCACAAGCTAAAATAAAAATAAGTAAAAAAATATCAGATATTTTTATTTCCATCGAGAAATACAAATAACTAATATTTAAGCATTATTTGGTCACTTTTTTCAAATGACTTTAAAAGGAAGACATTCTCTAGTTTAGTGTTATTATTCATTCAAGCTTTGTGTTTCCTGCATTTGTTACTAATTTTATTCTCATTAAAATCTGATCATTTTTGTAGAATAAAATCTTGATTTATTCGATCAGCAAGATCATCAAAATCAAGAACTAGCTACTACTATAACATTTAGTTATACAATGGTAGTATTTTTCCTTTTTTTATTGAGAGGATACCATAATCTGATATTTTATAGCTATAGGACTTACTATTTTTAGTGGAGAAAATTAATAAAATATTAAAATATTAACTAATTGTGATAATACTTACGAATACATCCAGTATGGCCGGATCCGATCCGAGGCAGTCCCCAGTAACCAGGCTCACAGCGATCACATTTCAACCCTCCGACACCAGGGCGGCAGGAACACTGGCCATTTTCATCACATCGGTCTGACACCGATCCGAGTCTGTTACACCCACAAGTAGAACTCGTGATTGGACAACCCTCTTCATTAGGACCCGTAGCTGTTGTTGATCCGTCGGTACAACAACCGTATGCACTTTCAGAACAGTGTTGCACTTTTTTCTCTTCCATTAACTTCGTGTCATCTACGATAAGGAAAAGTAAAATACTATGAATTTGTTGCGATCGTTTTACATTTTCATAAACACGAACGAAGTTACCAGCGAACCGAGAAATGGTAGCTATTTTGCTCAGAAAATAAGCATAGCTATCTAGAGAGGGTAATACCTACTGCCACCATTATTTTGAATTTGAATTTAATGTCCTGGGCACACTGCCTCGATGTTGCGCGTTAGGAGATTACTACAGAGTATGTTATTTTTTTAACAATATCATTTTGCAAATTATATGAAATTTATTAGCTATTAAAAATTTAGTTGGCACAATTTTACGGCACTTTTAATAATAGCATAAAGTTATTTTGCAAACACATCAATACCTATATCCAACTGATAAGAGATTCCATTTCCAAATACGTTTACGTGGTCGCACTTATAAAGAAGAGAGTGATACAACAAATATAAAAATAGAGGCTACTTCCCTATGGCTTAAAAATAGCATTATGTATTTACTACTTCTACGTTAGTATCTTGTCTATTTACATAGGTTAAGCTTTTATTTCTATTTCTTTGTTTTTATTGAAAGGACATTGTTAGGAGCATTGCTCTTTAAATAAAAGCATCTATTATGGCGAAAAATTAAAGTTTGTATATGACAAACAAAAATATGTTTTACATATAAAAAATATCTATGCATTAAATTGCATGTTTCGGTTCAATTTATTTTCGAAATTCCAGTTAGAAGTCGTAGGTCTGCATGAAAGTTCATTGTACCGCCGGTGAAAATAATACAATTTTCATAGCCTGTTCTATTTTTTTCATGTAATAATTAAATAATATATGCTATGTATATTTGTCATATTTTTGTACAGTTTTATCATCTTCATATTTTTAGTTTCCTATCACTTAATTTAGATTTCTCGTATATTCTGCCTTAAGGAATATCCTAAACTAACTGCTTTCGTTGATTAACTGCAGCATATTTGATATTATCTTTTCTAACGAGCCCTGCATTGAATTATGTTTCTCTAATTTATTTTAATAAAAACTATACTACAAATACTACAATAGATTTTTATAATCATAAGTCACAGCATACTAATATAAACAATCCTAAGTTTAACGACAACATATATAATCACACTATATACTTTAATACCTACTTTTGGGACAACATCTAGCTGCAGTCAATGTAATGTGGCAGTAACTTCCCATTGGACAATCCTGTCGATGAGGCCCATTTCCACAGTCAATTTCTAGACCAGTTGTTGAGTCCACCATTGCTTTATTGTTACCGCAAGGCCTTACTTCCATACCTGTGGTTTAAACGTTCCATTTCAGGGACCGCTCATTTCACATTTATTACTTTTAACTGTAAAACTTCACCAACTAAACTACAATGTAAAATGTTAGTAAACATGCAGAGGACAACAAACCTTTACAAAGTTCCAGTGGGCGCAAACGGAGTTCGAGCTGCTTTTGACATCCCTCTTTTCGCATGGCGCATAAGCTTGAATATAATCTAAAATCTGAGGCGCATACAGGGAAATATTCAACTTCGTGCGGACATTCAAAGAGGCAGGAACACCGAGGATATCCGTCACCGCCGATCTCACAACTCGCGCCAAAGTCGCAACGTATATCGCGGCACGCCAGCGGGTTCGCTGTACCGCCAAGTTCCGTCGCTCCCAATGAATCCGTCGACCCTTCCTCAGCCTCAGTAGTGGTCATCGCGGTCGTAGCTATCCACCCCCACCCAAATATTTGCGTGTTAGTCGAGCGATAAAGCGGAAAGTTAGTTAATTGATCAGGGATGGGTCGCTTTATTGGAATTACTGCTAACAACAGGGTTGATGTCGGTCCGACGGTAAATATTTTGACTGGCACCCACCCAAAAGTATGGTTACATGGTGATAAAAACAAGTATTTTAAAGTTTGTACAAAAAGTTTTTTGTACTCCTAAACTACATGTATTCCGCAACTTTATCTCCGTGAATTAGGATATAAGTTGCTTTATTAATACAAGATATGCATCTGCACACTACATTTCGTTCAAATGCGTTCAGCCGTTTAGTAAATGCTTTTAGTTAGTTATTTAATACCACAAACTACAGTTAGTATTAATAGTTATATATAAATGTGATATTTATAATATTAGTAGGATTAGTAGGCTTCTACTGCAATTAAATAACAATAAGTATAGAAATTAACACATACTCATTGCGATAGGTGGAACAACAGCAAGTCGATCTTTGCAATCTCCATAAAATATGACATGGAGTGAAGCTGGAGGTGGTAATTTGCAGGCAGTCTTTTGTAATTCACACTCATTGGGATACGTCTGCATGGTGCTTCCACAAACTGGCTCTTGGGCAGCGCCAGTACAGTCAGTGGGGCATATACACTCTCCGGCTGCACAACGAGCTCCGAAGGAACACTGCACCCCTTCGCAAAGCGCTGTTAAAAAATGCATTTTTAAGTTTCATATGATCCAATTCCAACACAAAAAAACGTTATTTAATTTATAAATAGACGTATTACAATATGCTATTAAAGCGTTTTGGATATATTTCTCTTTTTACTGTATTCTTTATGGGAGAGAGATGTGACATATATGTATCTATATACGTATGTTTTCTTAATTCAAAATAAAGTAATAGAATAGCCTAATAGTTGAAAATGATGTCTAATTCTTTAAAATCTTTGTGGACCAATTCCATTCGTCTATCTGTTTGTTTATCCATCTGTCAAATTAATTTATTTCAACAACTATTTATCAATATTTTTTACACAATCCACCGTTCTATTTTTCTTAGTTTGATCCTTTGATTTATTTTATTATTTAGTACAGGAAATGTCTACAAGGTGGACTTTAATGCTAAAAGCATTTCCTCTCAGTCAACCTTAGTGAAATGATAAAAAATTCAATTTAGCTTCAAGAAAATAAAAATTTTGAAGTAAATTTTCAGAAGTGTATACAAACACAGAAAAAAAATTGTCATGCCAAAATAATGTTAGAAAAATAAAATTTTGTTTATGTATATAATAAATTATTTGTAAATCATAATTTCTCACGCAGCAAAGTTGAGAAAATAATGACCAAAATTTATTCGTTTTACCTACTTAGTGGCATAGTCATAAATAACAGTATACGAGTTTTATTTCGTCTACGTTAGCAAGGTTACGACTTCGTAAGCACCCGGCTAAAGTTTGCCAAGAAACGAATGGCTGAACAGATAATGTCATTTTGTCCAACAATTGCGAGCTTCCCATAGCACTTTCTCATTCTGCCGTCAGGGAAAATTAGGCTTCTCGGTCCCGCAATGAGGAACGAGGGAAGACACTCGTGCAAATTTAATAACGATTGTTTACCACCTCTCCGCGAAATGAAAGTCTTGCAAAAGCGGTCGATTAATATAAAACGGGAAGCGGAAAGTCAAGATAATATTCAGTAACTTTAAATATGTCTGCGTTTGGAAAATTACGCCGACTGTACACGGTACATGACTTTATATATAGAAACGTTCATCATGTGAATACCAGAAGGAGACTTAATACAGGAGTCATCTGTTTAGGTACATATCTACCAGTTTGTCGTATTGCTGCTGTAAATGACTGTTTCAGTTTGGAATTATAATTCGTGATATTATATATGATTATGAAATTACAGGGTATGGAGGCATAATATAACGGTCCTCAGAAATGACACCGCATGAGAGTACCATAGTTATTGCCGTATATCTATAGTACTATTAGTACCAAAGGAAGACTTTGTACAAAAGTCGATTGCTTGGGTACCTCTGTCCCATTCGTGTTTCTACCGTGAAGCAGTTGTGTTTTATGGCTGTGTTTCAGTTTGAAGCGTGGGATATGGCGTGAAATTACTGGGTACAGAGGAATAACACCTGAGTCCTCAGGAATGGCAACGCATGGGGGGTATCATGGGCGAAACAGTATACTCTGTTATGTCTATGGTACTGCTCATGTCTATAGGTGATGGTTACCACTTTCCATCAGGTGGGCCGTCAGCTTATTTGCCATTCTAAGTTGTATAAAAAAATAGTAAGTTAAAAAGTACATTTATATATTCACATTACTGTACGTATTATATCTTTAAATGTATTATAAAAAACGAACAGGGTTTCGTGTCTCCGGTCAAACTGTTTATAATGACTCTTCACTTTCCAGAGGTTACCTAGAAGAGATCGCTCTTGGCGATAAAACCGCCTAATTTTCTCAGTATAACTTTTTCATGTAATTGTATTATTTTTTTAATAAGTTTATTAATGTAATATTTTGGGAAAAACAATAAAAAGTATCTACCTATCTATCTATTCATGTCTATAGAAGACGGTTGCTACTTTTTATCACATCAAAATTTTATAATTCTCAATATACGTGTGATAAATGATGTATAAATGTGATAAATGACAAAACTAACCTTAATTCTATTGATATTCACTTTTACTTTAAACACATAGATTATTTACTGTTCTTTCTAAAAAGTATATTACCTACTCTACAAGTACAAGCAAATAAATGCAAAGATAAAAATACAAAAAAGATCACACCGAGAAAACAATGGGCAGACTTATCACTAAAAGCTACCTTTTTAATAATAAATTATAATTTAAATAAATAATTTTTATTTTGGAAAATTTTCTTTGATTGAAGAGAAAAAAATATCTTTAAAAATTATTTATGATTTTATTCGTAAACGAAACTATACCTGTGGGAAATGCTCGTAAAGTTGGGACATTGCGAACAATTTTTCTGTATAAAACGGTGACATTAAGTACACTCAAACTAAAAAGTGATCAAATATAGATACGGACGTTTTTCGTTTTCCAATATAATATCGTAGCTATTATTCTTTAACATAACGAACCTGTTAAAAGAAATAATAAAGAAGAATTAAAATACTAAATGTGTATTGTTGAACAGTAAAAAATTTCAATACGAATGAACAGAAAAGTTTCTTGCTTAATTAGTACAAAGAAATTTAATTAATTATGAAGACGGCCAATTCGAAAGTTTAGGCAAAGCAGCACTCGACAAACTGGTAGCAACTGTAAATGAGCGAATGAATATTCGATAACCGTAACATTCATCAATAAAACATAATACTAGTTAATTATATATTTTGCATATATTTTTATTAAGTTCAAAATAATCATTTTGGTCTTTTTTTTGTATTTATTCGCAAAATGTAATGAATAAGTAAAAAGATAATATAATAAAGTAGTTAAATATAATTAAGAGTACTGAATTAACGTTATATATGTTTAATTACCCTTTACTCGTTCGCATAATTTTTTAATGCATCATAAGTAAGGTACATCTGTGAAAATTTTGTATTTAATTCTGCAACTAAATTGTAGTATTATTTTAATAACAGTAATAGAAAGGAATACAGCTAAGTATCTCTATCAGACTATTCTCGTATAATCATGTTAATCGTGAACATATATGTAATGTTTTACTTTGTCTGTAAAGAAAAGGTATTTTTTTTTAAATTAACTTAAGATCACAGATATACCACCACAGGTAAACAAAGCTGTATAAAATATTTCATATAGATCTGCTTTTTAAATATACTAACGCGTGCGTAATGCCCCTGATATTGCAGGCGTTCATAGGCTACGGTAACCGCTTACCATTAGATGGGCCGTAAGGATTGTTTGCCACCTCATTGGTAAAAAAATGTAATAAAACTAAATACTTATATTTATTTGCTTATATATCATGTCAGTGCTATTTTATTATTATAAAAAAGGGAACCCTAACTTTCATTTGGCATTCAATCTTTTCAATAATCCTTATAACGGTTTTTGAAAAAAATTAAACCGAAATTATATAAGGTATATAAAGCAGCTATACAGTTTAACCACGAAGTAACCCTAAGATGCACATCACAAAGCCGATTAACTTAATCTGACTTTGTTTCGGATATACGCCAACTATGGAGCAGTTTAATCCTCTATTGATCGGTAATCCTAAGCTGAATTCAAGTATACATAGATAAATGAATATCTATTATATCTAGCCAATACTACAATGAACGCTTTCATTATTTAGAATGCTCAGTCAATATCAAGAGATTACAATAGATGAACCAGTATCCCACGACTTTACCTCCACATCCCCCCCCCCCCGCAGGGAGAAGTCGATGTTCAGCAGTTAACAACAACGTAGACAATATACTATGTAAAAATTCAATATTATACAGTAGATGAAGTAATCATGAGACTATAAATATCTTCTTGTCTTATAAAAACAAAATATAGTATTTGAACTTTGATTATTATAAAAAATAAAGTCTACACTACAGTAAACAGAAATCATGGATATACAAGTATAGTAATTAATTTAAAACAGTAACTAATGACACTTTCAATTTTCATCCATAATTTTAATCCATAAAATATTTTACATAATTTCTCCCCAAAGGAATTTTTGTATTTTCCTATTAGAATTCACTGAAAAGATATTTTATTATCCGATTCTATAACACCGCTCTTGGTATTATTATATATAAATAGAAGATAAGGAACAATTTTGAGCTGTCCGCCTCCAGACTCCTATCTGTTCTCTTCATTTCCTTTGCTTTACCTCCTACGAAAAATTTTTAACATAATCTAAAAATAACTTTCCCATAAATCAAAATTAAAATGATTTTAATGACTTAAAAGTTAAAAACAATTTACTTGTTATAGTATATAAGTATTTTAACTTATAAACTGTGATAAAATAACACAATACTTTCTCCGTTAATTTTAATTCTATTTTAATTTGTTACGAGAATAAAATTGCTCATTTCATAATATTTTATGAATAACAATCTTAACGAATTTTCTTTACCAAAGGTCGGCCCTTTTTCACAGGATTAACCTATATCCTTCCAGAGGCCGGGTTAAGGTGTACTTAATAATTGTTTTGGGTCAATTAGCTGGTATTAAAAAATGATATTACCTTTAGCAATTTTATTTTAATCTGATGAACATTGGAAAATTATATTTTCATATGTTCATAACTATTATTAACCTTTTTTATTAATTTATTACCTAATTAAATGTAAGACATACCAGAGGGAGATTTTATACAAAAGTCGATTGCTTAGGTACCTCTGTCCCATTCGTGTTTCAACTGTGAAACAGTTGTGTTCGCATAGCTGTGTTTCGATTTGAAGAGTGGGATATGGCGTGAATTTACTAGATACAGAGGAATAACACCTAAGTCTAAATTACCTTATTATCTTTTTCAATTAAATGTTTATGAAATAATTATAATATTTATGTTATTATTAGCTTTTGGCCCGCTACTTCGTACACGTGTATTTAGAAAATAGGCAACCAATGAAATAAATCACTTCTACATTGTATATCAAGATAAAACATACGCCGGATTTTAATTTAGACCTTTAGGCAAACAACTGTGGAAACTGCATCTAATTTAGTGTAGTAATATTTGCGTGATGCCGGAACAAACATACAGACAAACATTTCTAATAACGTTTTAGCACCTTGGTCTTATCATCATCTTGTTGTTTTTTTTATATTATTAAGTATAAATAAGATCCCCAAACACAACTACCGAAATCAAATGAGTAAAAATAAGAATACACAGATATCAATGGTTACTCCGCTTACGCTATCGGTATACGCTGGCGGAACACTAGTAAGAGATGGTAGCTGAAGCTCAAGCATGTCAGTTAGTCCATAGTGACAAATTCATCAATAATTAATCACAGTGGTATCCAGAAACCGGATGAAGGTTAATCTTATTACTCTATATGCTGGAGCTGTTAAACTGTATTACTAATAATCCCTTTCCCCCTCACTTTAAAACGATAGGTATGATGGAAATGCTACCACTATTTATTTGAATTAAAGAAATGTATGGAGATAAAGTTAGGTAGAAAGAACAGTGAGTCTTAGGACAAAGAATTCATCGTATTCAGCAAATTTACAAATTAGAAATCTCATGTAATATTCAAACAGCTGACTGAGAGCACTAAGATTGAAGAAAATCCTTCTACTATGTACTCGTATATAGCTTCCAAAAGGTTTATGTGTATGTATGGCCAGCATCAGTCATTTGAAACATCAATTGTTTCAAAAATCACTATACATCACTGCATCCATAAATCGTTGCATATATTTACTCAATTTTATTGCCAATAATTTTGAATCGTATATAACGTTTAAGTATTTTGGAATTCCGACGTTTACTGACTCTACTTTTTCAAATTTGTCAGAACTTTTATTGGGTTTTAGGTTATCTACTAAGACAGCATTTAATATTAAATTATATTTTATATAATTGATGTTATATACGTCATAAAAATTATCATTACTATATGTCACTTACCACAATCACCCCTATACGCGATCCGTAGTTCGCTTTGCTCACGACATGCTGTCGCGTCCAATTCGCATTGTGAAGCATACGTCTGGCCATCAGTTCCACATACTACATCAGATTCCTGTCATAAAAACGAAGAATTAGATCACAAAGTAAATATTTAAGTAATAGAGTGGAAAAAATCTGATCTCATATTTGTACCTGGATAAAATAATGACAATTATACGTAATCCAAATAAAATGAAACCTGAATATTGGTGTAATAATTATGTATATTTATAACTATCTAAGTTATATCTATTTTATGTTACGCTACCTAACCAATTTCAAATTGTAAATCAACACAATTAAAATCTATAGAAATATCGAAGTCTGGAATGTTCAAATAAAACACTACTGAATAAATTTTCAAGATAACTAACTGCCAATTATCATGCCAATTTGACTAAAATCAGGCTTATAAAAGTGAAAGACTCAATTAACGATTGAAAGGATCATCGAACCGATATTACTTTTAAGCCAGTTATTATCCATTTTCCGAAATAAACCGGTTATAATAGACGCCTATCTTTCAAAATTGTATATTGTTCAAGAGTTTGTGGTTGTAGATTGTTTAAAATCGGCTTAAGTTTATTGGTTTTAAAGTTTTAATACTTACAGGTTAGAGAGTTAAGTGATGAGTGAAAGGTATTAATAAAATAATTTGATTTCTTAATGTAAAATAGTATTTTAATGTACTCTATAATAACTTTTCTATATCGTATATATATCGTACAATTTCAACCCAAACAAATGTTCATTTGATGTATGTATATTTCAAGTATAAAGAATTCAACAAATTGAATTTTATAAAATGTTGTAATTGTGATAAAACTACTCTTACACTTAAGAGACAACATAATAGATTTTGACATGCCAGAGCATTGACAGCTTATTTGTAATGCTTGGATATTACAGATTAGTTAACAATGCTCTATCATCATCATCTTCCTACCCTTATCCCAGTTATTATTTGGGGTCGGCGTAATATGTTTTTATCCATATTACAAAAAGATTTGGCTTTTAGTTTTACGGCCGGCCGCTTACCTGACGTCAACCCTCTTTGGGAAACAATTTAACAATGCTTTATGCATTACATAAATATTTTAATTAAAAAATTTTTGTAAAGCATACCTGTGCTTCAGTGCAGTTGTGATTGCAACGACAGACAGGCCGGCCTGTCGCTGGATCTAAAGCACAGTCTCCTCCTCCTTGGCACACAACGTCCACACACGATTCTATACAACAAATATAATTAATTATACTTCATGTACATAAATGCAAATACAATTACTATTAGCTAATAAACAAATATTGAATAATAGTAATACCAGTAGTGCATACACAAGTCCCGCGAGACATTATGGTAATCATAGTATCTACGTTCCTATTGAAATAATTGCATTATGCTGTCGAACTCAATAATGTAATGTTCGGCCTTATTTATCAGAAATTTTTGCTATAGTAACACCAAGGATACTATTGTAAATTCTAATTAAGCTAATATTTAATGAAATTCTTTAGGTATTTAAAATATTTTGAAGTATTGCTCTAAGAAACAAATTAAATAAATTATTTATTATAACGGAATTTAATAAACAAATATCACAATATTAATAAATAAATTCTTAGATACTAACTAATATTACAAATATGAAAATGGGTTAATTTATTTGTTTGTTATTATAACTTAGCGCCTTAAACGCTCAACCGATCGAAGTTATTGTAGGCTGCTTTTTATTCAATTAATGTGACATTGATTGACCCAGAGAGAAAAATAGCATATATAAATAATTCCTAATCACGCAAAATAGGTCGCGAGAAAAAAGTTCTTTAAATTATTATACCAATTCAGTAAAGCAATCATGATAAAAATTTCTAAGGAAGGTATTGCAAATTTTTTTTTAAAAGATCGTAATTGATCGCCAGACTCTAGTCAAATCAGGAGATAAAAGCTTTTAACTATTTTACTAAACTGCGACTTAAGTCGACAAGATCATCGTGAAATATTGTTCAGCAATTAGTAGTCTCGGGTTTTGTATAATAAAATTAATTCGTGTCCGACCTTCATTAATCCATGTTAAGATTAATATAATCATTGGATTGGATTAGGTAGACTAAATTTGTCCTTTAAAATGTGTTGGGAATATGATGGTCATATGAAGTAAGACATACGTTTTCAAAATTTTAAGGGGAACGATTGATTCTGTCATATTGGCTAACGTAAACTTTTTTGTGCCAGACAAATATACACATGCTAGACGTCAACTGTTATTTGCCGTACCTAAGGCTAAAATAAACTTGCTCCGTCACGTTTCTTTCATTAGAGCACTTGTTTTATTAAATAATATTTCGAAAGTACTGGTCTCTTTACATGTTTTCTGACAGAATTCACAAGTGCAGGAATCGTTACTATTTGTTATTGTAAAATCTAAACCAATATTGTCTGTTGTCGAATTGGAATATACCCTGTACGGACATGGAAACAAATAAATAAAATATACTAAACATTTTTTTTTCTAATAAACAAAAATATAAATTTACTCCTTGTTTTTGTATATACCTTAAATTGTACTTTTTTTATTATTACTATACTATTTTATTATATTAGCTCAAACGAATTTTAACAGAACAACCTATATTATATAGCTAAATTAATATGTATTAATATAGTAGTAACTTTTATTTTTTTTAATAATGTGATTTTCTTTCAAAAAGAATTTGGTTGATCAATGCAGTATTTAATCTTTTGTATTTATAGAATTTGTTATTACGCTACAATTTAGTGCGTGAAATAAAATGGTTTTCAGTCGCATTCAATTTTGGGACGATAACAAATACACAAAAAATAGCCAACCAGACAGTATTGGATTTACGATTTCATTTTACTATCAGTGAGTAAGTAAATTATGTAATTTTTTAATATTACTGTGTCACAGTTGTAAATATTTTGATATTTTCTACATATAGAATACAATTTAATCTACTTACAATTTTATAATCTAAAATGTTATGATAATTATGTACACAACATTTAAAAAATAATGTATATATACATGCATAACTTGAATAATGCGAACTTATTGTATTTGTCGTTTCCGACAATTATATATAAACATATTTGCATATTATAAAATGAACATAAGTTTCAAAATATTTTAAAAACATCTCCTTAATTATATCACTTACATAAAGTAAGTAGTATTACTATAAGTATCAATACTAATTATTTAATGGTAATTCATGAGAAAATTTTGAATGTAATTTTCAAACCTAATTTTCTTTTTATTAACGATATCTATATATGTGTATAATGGGAATTGTAGAAATTTACTATGTCGTTTCCGACTATTGTTTTGATTTCATCCAGAAGTTTTCTTTAGGCCAAGTATGGTGCTTACAACGCATTGTCTCACCTTATACTGCGAACTGCAGTTCGCAAAACTCGTAAAAACGTCGGACATCAGACATTTGGCGGTGTCCAATGATCTAATGATTCCGAGGCGAATGGAGATAGCAATGATAGCAGACGATGGTGTAGTCGGGAATGAGTCGTTGTAACGAAAAGCATTGTACGCGCCCTTAAGAAGACTTGCGAATGAAATTTGAACTATTGTCAGAAACGAAGAACATATTAGGTTCATAAAATTCTATTCATAATATATTTATATAGAGACATTGTAATTTTTTTATCTCGCCTAATGTTTATAGCAAAATATTAAACCATAATTTACATCTAAAGATCTTACGCTCCGTTTATCAACAATTTTTAAAGATATACGTATAAAGATTTTCATCGCTGGAAATTGATAACAGTTTTTGTTATAGAAGAATTTTATAATTTATTTTCTCCGCTACCTTAGCTACGTTGCGATTTTCATTTATACCGCAAACAAGATATTTCTTTTATTTGGATTTTGGGGGAAGTTGAGGAGAAAAATGTGTCTATAAATATTAATGAATGCCCACTACGTATTTCTTATATTTCTTTTCTAATTCGAAAAACAAACCATTGAAAAATATAGAAGTTGAAAATTTAGAGACTTCTGATAACTACTGGTTTTCATATATATATTTATATATACATATATATATTTTTCTGTAAAAATACTTATATGGAATATTTTTATGATATTTACGAAGTCTAAATTCTGTTAATTTACAAATTTTGAAATATAATATCGATAAAATAACTTTTCATATCAAATTCCAAACTTTTTCTCAATTATAAGCATTGTTTGTAACTAGCAGAATGGAATATAAACTTATGAAAACTATTTTTTTAAATGAGCCATAACTAAGCAATCCTACCTATCTCCATTCGCCATCACACATACTTCTTTTCCTTCACTTACTTCACTTTCATATTTGTTAAGATATTAACATTAACAAAAAATTCAAAATTACTACTCACGACAAGTCCCATTGTATAACACTCGTAGATCTTCCTCTTTGATTCCTTCTTGACATGCATGCATGCGCATCTTACACTCACTTCCGTAAGTGTTGTAGTCTGACGCGCATACAGGTGCAAGCGTGGGTGCGCACACCGGACATGCGCACTGCGCTGCGCCACCACGCGACACGCACGCTCCTCCCCACGGACATATTGCTCGCGCGCATGGATTTTCTAAACCTAAATTATTACAGCAACATTAAAAACGACTATGAAAATAATAAATTCTACTCAGTATTAATCTTACTAACAGTAAACATAAATAAGGCCATGAAATAAAGAAGTCTGCGTGTTTGTTATCGGATTTTATCACATCATCAAAGAAAGACCGGCACTGATTCGCTTGGACGATATGATTTGCTTAAATCGTTTATCATTTGCCTGGTATAAATTATCTATTTGTAGAGAAAGCCACAAAATTAATCGAGAAATAGTATCAAACCAAAATGCACATCAGATCATCACATTGAAATAAAATTATTCATCGCCATAATTCTAAATGGACGTTTGAATGCAATGGTGCTTCATTTTTGCCATGTAAAGGTAGAGAAAATTGAATCTGAAATTTATGCAAACATTTTTAAACGATTTCAAAAAGAGAAAGGTTTGCTTCTATTTTTAGTATGCAGGTTACACACCATCACCATTGTTTTTTTTTTGTGGTACAAAATACCTCCAGCACATAATGATCGTTCAATAATGTAGTTTAAAATTTACTTACCGCAGGATCCTGCGTACGCTACTCGTATTTCTCGGTTCTCAAGACATGATGCTCTCTCTAGGAAACAGGGACTGTCGTAGGTGCGATCATCAGAACCACACACTGGGCGAACAATTGCCTCACACTCCGGCCCACATCCGCATACCGCCACACCACGTGCGTCCAAAGAACACTGCTCGCGAAGACCACACTTAACGGAATCACACGGATGTTGTGCTGTTGTAACAAAAAGGAAGGGTAAGTAATATATAGTAATATCTGTATATTGAAGTTACAATATCTATTTATATATTGGACAAATAACAGATACATTAACTATCGGTTATCCAAAATATCCCGCTCATAATTAATATATAATATATTAAGATATTCGACTGGTATGGACGATATCACAATGGGTGGTCACCTATGTCCAGAATAACTCAATATATAGGTATTGGATATTACCCGTCACTAAGAAAAAGTTTTTTTTTAGCCACTATACCTATACTGTAATACATTTAGATAGGATTACATGTGTACAAAAACTTTGACTTCAGACTATGAAGTTTATAATTATCTATCATTACCATTGTAATGAATAGAGCGCCGTGATTATTATATGGCGTTTTAATAATTAAATTGACTCGAACTTGAAAGTCGAGTGGATTTAGCAATTCATGCTCACTATAATATAAAACGACAAATTGGGCTAGTCATTGAATTCCTCAAAGTACGCATGTACCAATAATGCGATCTTCCAAACAGAAAACAATATTCTGAAACCAGCACTAGAATATTAAGAAAACAAAAAAAACAACAATTTAAAAGTACTACAATAAGTTTATTTGATTCTATTATAGGTACTATCCTATTCTTATTTTGATTATGTGGAAGTTTGCAGGCTTACCCTTATCACTTTAGATTAGAATAAACTTGGCGAATAAGGTGAGTAGGAATTCACATTACGCGTACATCACAATGGTAACAATAGCTAGCCAAGTACCTTTAACTCATACAAATATAATAAAATGTTATTATCGTAATTATATGTATAACTTATAAAATCTTTGAAGAGTAATTTTAAATACAATTTTATTAAAACCCTTTAAATATTAAACTTAATGTTTTATTATTTCATCCTTGTCTCAATATCTTTTGGGTCGACAAGACGCTTCGGTGCTTGTATCCAATTACTTTCTTTAGAACAAAATGTCCCTTCAACATGGGCTTTGACAAAAGTCGGATCTTTGCATTTTCAAATAAAGATTTAATTTTAGATTAGGAGACAAGATATTGAGGTAACTATTTATCGAGCCTTCCACAATTTTAATAAATTGTTCGTTGATACATAATTAAGATTGATCGGCGTTGTTTTCGATTAATTAAATTAAATGTTCTAAATTTATGGTTTTGTATAAAACTCATTAAAAAGAAAGAAAAATATACATTTATTTGATGACTGGCACATAAAAAAACATTTTAGGAAAAAGTAAACAGTATAGTCACGGAATAATTTTTTTAGATATGAAAATGAAAATTCAATAAATGGAGTTGCAAAATCACAAAACCTCGTAATGTGAAATATCTTTGAGAGTTTATAACCACCATATTTTATATAATATTTTAAATAAATTATCATTATGCACTCTATAGTACTGTTATAATTAAGATGAATCTAACGATGCTTCATTGTAAAAATATATTTAATGTATCATCAATAGGGTACAATACTGTGCCAAATATCAGGATTATACTACACTAAACACTTTTAAATTTCTATAGATTTGAAGTCTCTTACAACTACATATCTAAAGAACTATTTTTTATAAAAATACCATATACGGTAAATGTAAGAGAGCAAACAGTACGTATCAAGAGCTCCAAGCCACTACCAGGCATACCTCAAATGTACTTACCTGAAGCACATTCTCCTCTATACACAATAGTGAGCTGTTGACGTGTTCTACATGACTCGCGGCGCAATGAGCACTCGCTTGGATAGTCCCTGTAGTCAGAACCGCAAACTGCTGATCCGGTACGGACGACTAAGTCACATGGTGGACCACACCGGCAGACTGGTTGACGAGAATCGTTCAATTGACATACTCCTCCATCGACGCATTCATGTTCTGAACATGGATCTGTTTACAATAAAAAAAAATAAACGGTTAATTTAGATATACCGATGAAAATATTCATTACACTAGCTGTGCATAAAGTTTTAATATTGCTGACCTGTATTAAAACTTCTGAAACTCCAGTCCATAGTAACTAGCTGAAGCCTAATTTTATTGCCTTTGTCTATGTAAGTTACTTTATTTTGTATATGGCGAAAAAGAGCATACTTTATTCTACCTATAGTGGCATTATCATACAAAATTTTTAAACACTGACATAATTAGCTCATTGTCTTTAGCTAAAATAGGTCGTGTTTTAATATACACTGACAGGAGAACTTTGACTTCTCCAGTGAGGGTAGACGCAGGTGTTCACCCTCACTTTTTAATATTTGTATATTTTTTTAATTAGTTTCGCAAATTACAAATAGCAATAAAAAAATTTAGTAGTTAGTTAACTAATCTTGAAAAGAGTGATAGATAAACTCTTATAAAGTCACGTGAGATTCGAATAAGTTGACAAATAATCTCGACTGCGCTATGAATTCACTACAACGATAATAACTGATCTTACGAAGTATGTACATTAAGTATAAAGCCTGGTAACATAGGAATCGATGTGGTAATATTGAAAACACAATACTTAAAAGAAAGTTAAATTTCAATATAAGTTTCAATTTGCTAAAGTCATTTGTTTACCCGTAGCAACAATTGTTTTCGTGAAACTTATTTTACAGGTACTTTCTAAAAATGAGTGCCATCAATTTTGAGCAAAGGTATGCTATCAGATTTTGTATCAGACTTGGACACAATGAAATGGAGATTTTTGCAAAACTTCAGAAGACCTACGGAAATGCTATTTTGTTAAAATCCTTCGCAAACTGGGTATGGATGTGAGACCAAATATCTAAAATAACTAGGTGTTGCATCACAGTAATGCATCTTGTCGCATTTAATTTTCAGTAAACGAATTTTTAGTCTATAAAAATATTTCTCTTACTGCTCAGCTTCTTTTTGCCAAACTTGAGTATTTTCTTCTTAATTTACTTTTTCGTTTTCCGAGATTTAATACTCACCTGAAGAGATATCTTTTTTAGTGGAAAACATTCAAATGGCTGGAACCAACTAGCTGAAGGCTACTCCAGTATTCAAGTTTTAGCGCTACAATGAAGAATGCAAGAGCCATTACTACTTCGGACTTCCCAGGAAAGTTATTTTGAGGGAGACAATGTTGAATGGTCATTGCATTCGATATTTCTTTTTTTGTTAAAAATTAATCTTCTTTTTTAATTAACACACCTCAAATGCCCCTAACTCGACTGTACATTTAAAAACATTGAATTTAATCTAACCTGAATCATAAACGAAAGATATTTTGATATCATTTTAACCTCAGCACAATTTATAATTTATGAAGTGGAAAAATTTTGACAACATAATTTTAATTTAATCTTTTTTTAGTTATAATTTCTAATAATTTGAATATATAGTATAATATGTTGTTTCTGGGACTAAAAAGTGCGTTGTATTCTATTAAAAACAAGTTTAATTCTTATAAAGAAAGAATAATCAGGATATCTTCTTTTTCTTATTTTTATTAATGGCAACTCGACGATTCATAACAGGAGGACTTGCCAGTACAAAAATGAATAATTACGAGCAATTAAATACTAACTACATAAAAATAAGTCAAAGGTTTGGATCCAATATCAAAACTTGCTTATTACTCTAAATGAATGCATTACACCTGTAAAATGTAAGTAATATGCACACAGAATTTATTAATTATACAAAATTAAAGTATAAAGTAAACAAAATTGCACAAAAGTTGTCGGAATATGTGGGGAGTCGTACAAATTTAGTTCAGATCGAATGTTTTGGGGTAAACTCTGTGAGAAGGGTTAACAAAATGTAGGTACGTAACAGATAAAGTAGAGAAGATTAAATTACTTTTATGAAAAAGAAACAGCCGATCCAATTTATGTTTTGCCTAAAGAAAATGTTCAAGTATTTTGAAGTCATATTACTTTTTTGTCGTAGTAAGATATGTAGTTCTATTTATTGTTAAGCATTTTATTTTTATAGAACTAATATACATAAAGAAGGTAAAAGCCTTTAAAAATTTTAAACATAAAAAGTAATTAATTCAACAATAACTACCCGTATACCTGTCAATTTATATGAAGAATACCCTGGTGAAAACCTACAAGATCTTTTTTTCAGAATTTCTTATTAGATAGGTTAACAATCCAAGAAAAGATTAAAATGATTTCTTAAAAATATTATTAGAATCATAAAATTTCTAAGTAGATAACTACAATAATTAAAATAAGTTTCACTCAAGTCTTCGGCTCTCAAATTTCTAGTAACAAATATTGTATTAATATTATAATTAATACATTTTAATATTACGATTTACATAAGTAGGTTAAGTATAAAAAGATTGGTATCAATAGTAAAGCCTTTTCAATAAAGGTACCATGGCGGGTAGGGCGTCACCTTTCTACGCACGTTTCCCTTCGAATCCTGATTTTATTCCCGAACCGCTACGTCATCTTCACGTGAAATGAAATGTTGACCCTTTTTGTGTACTCCACGTCTATTATGAAGAAGTGACCTGTTCTTAACGAGATCCTTTTATGCTGTCAAACATCAACACCAACAATACGCAGTCATTTGTTTTAATTAATTGCCCTCATTAAAAAGCCCCGAGGGTTGTGGCCGACCGTCTCGAAAAAACACTCTTAATTACTTAACCGTGTTGTTATAAGTAATAAGGGCCGAGATATTAAAGATATGCGCATTAGGTGTTATTAAATTGCGACTAATTAATTTTCCAAAAATACTTTTCCTGTGATTTGATGGTCATGGTCAGCAATCACTGGATAAATTTTTAGGGCATTCTAATCCATCATTTATGACGAAATTTGTTTAAGCCAGACTTTTCTGATTAGATTAAGTTAGTCTCCATTCTTCATTGTAATAGTCCTTAATCCATTTCCCATTATATTAACTATCTATTCAAATTTTGTTCTTTGAGAGAGAGAATTCTAAAATCTTTATTTCCTTTTATTCATTTTATACTAGCTTTTACCCACTACTTTGTTCGCGTGACCGGGATATATTTGTTCACCGAAATAAAAAGAAGCTTATAATTCCACACCCCATAATACACTATAAAGTAACAAACAAACAAACTCATACGTTTATAATATTAGTAAGTATTATAATATTAGTAATATTAGTAAGTAGTATACCTGACGTTATTTGAGAGCAATTATAAACTTTTTTCATATGGTATCTTCATCTTTTATCTTTTAGCAATTATTTACAATAGATAACATAAATATTAATAAGATTGTGTAAAAAATAATATTAAAATAAATATTTAATGTTATAGGAGATATATGACATAGTAAAGTTTTCATTTAGTGTTGAATCATATACATAGCTAATAACACAAACTTACCGCACTTTCCATGGTATTTTACAGTAATGTTCAATTGATTTTCGCAGGCATATTTATCTAGATGACAGACTGATGGATACTCCTTTCCATCAGTACCACAAACTGGCTTTTTTCTCTGACAACTTCTGGAACAGCGACACTCTGGTTGACCATTGGAGACTGTACATCGGGCACCAACTGGACATGTCACTGCAGCGCATGGGTCTCCAGCTTCTTGAACAAATATAACCTGTTATTATCTTTGTAGAATATACTAATCTTTAATTACTAAAACAAGAAAATCTTATATATATATATATATATATATATATATATATATATATATATATATATATATATATATATATATATATATATATATATATATATATATATATATATATATATATATATATATATATATATATATATATATATATATATATATATATATATATATATATATATATATATATATATATATATATATATATATATATATATATATATATATATATATATATATATATATATATATATATATATATATATATATATATATATATATATATATATATATATATATATATATATATATATATATATATATATATATATATATATATATATATATATATATATATATATATATATATATATATATATATATATATTATATATATATATATATATATATATATATATATATATATATATATATATATATATATATATATATATATATATAATTCTTATTATTTCTTTAATGAAACTCTTTTCTTGTGGATCATTATAGCAAATATGCGTATTTGTAGATTTCAGCACTGGATATTCATTGTATGTTTCCATTTCAACATTAGGATGTCTCGGTCTCAGTTTTAAGACTCGAGCAGCTTATTATGATCGCTGATAATACAATTTTATAAATAATTCGTGCTAAAATCATAGAAAAACAAGTCGATTTCTATATATATTATATTATAAACACAGATAGCATAATATAGAAATATTCTAATTGGAGTAATCATAAGGCACTTGTTACTATAAGATTTACTTGATACTTTGTGTAACTTCATTCGTTCAAATCTGTATTCATCTATATTCTGTAACCGCGGAAATGACTTTAATTTGAAAATACAATTCTCTTATGTTCAAATTCAAAATTTAATTTACAGACGAGTATGTCTTTTGTAGAGTTTTTATTTTATAGCTAGAATATTTCTTACAATAACAATAAAAACAACGTTATACTCCTTTTTAACGTTAACGTCCACAACACTTTACGAGCATAACTCATAAACAAAGGTACTCAGTTGGAAGAATATGTGAACAAGTACATCGGAATTGTAATTTTTCTTTCACTAATAGAAAAAAAAAACCTGTACAATCCACAGAGTATCACACATTTTCGTGGAAAAAAAATTAGAGGGTTTTTTTGATGATATATTTAGGCTTACCAACTAAACACATATAAAACATTACAAACTCTCTCTTAATGTTTCACAAACAAAGAATGCTATTGTTAACTCTAAATGAAAGAACAGTTAGTCTTAATACACTAGTGTAATATATTGAAATGTTTCGCTGTATCTTATGTTAGTGATCCTTTAAATAAATAAATAGTGGATAATTAATTTACATATGAGGGTTTTTGAGCAGATATCCCACAGGGAGCAAAATTTTATATTAGATATCTCATTATTATAAAGCAGTGAGATTTTTATAGATCAAAGAATATAAAAAAGTTTTTAAACTTAATAAAATCCTCCTAATTCTACTTTCTGTCCTACCAATCCTACAAATTTTATAAATGTGAGACTATTTAATAGGTTTTGGTTTATACCTACTTCGTCTTTAATCGCTACTTATCGTCTTTAATAGGCTACTTTTATTATAATTTTAGTGGATAAAACTACAGGCTATAGATACTGGTATCAGTAGAAGTTTCTGAAGATGCTTACATATTTGTTAATAAATTACGCTCAAACAACTAAACAGATTTGAATGAAATTTGGTGCATAGATAAACCACAACGTATATTAACACGGGATCCTTTACAATTTATATATTTGATAAAGCCACGAGATGCAGCTAGTATATTATAACTATATTGCAACTGAAACCTCATAAATTCGCTTCAAGCATTTGATTAAACCAATACTTGGCGCATAAACTAAGTTTTAGACGTGATCAAATCGATTATATCGCTCCAGTCGTAAAAATCTTCTCGTCTTCTAATCGACTTGTTCTAAGGAGATGTTCACTGAGCTTTAGTATCATGAGGATGTCATTAAATCGATCCACTATATCCATTTTATCGTTAATAACTTTGTAAGCTCCAACTTTGTTGTTTAAGCAGATGATCTCACTAATATCACAGTCTCTATAAATAGTAGTATAACAATAAATATGAATGTTTGTTCTTAGACTACTATTTAGATGTTTATAATATTTCTATTTTATAGCTGTATTATATGACGATGATGAATCAACAGCATTTATGCACATATTGATGCATAAACACTTTATATATTATATTTATATCATTTTTTTCTTTTACTTTCTAGATTAAAATCAGAATATTCGTTGATACATAATTTGTTGTTCAAAATTTAATTATCTTCTTAAATATAATGTGTGCGTTGTATTAGTTAATCTTAATTTAGTCACGATTGCGTTCGTTAATTTATGCAGAGAAATATTTTTTGTTTATTTTAACTACATTTTTAGATAAAATGATTACAAGTGCAAAATTAATAAAATAGAAATTTAAGTAAAATATATCAATATTTTGTTACTTCTAAGAACGTAATGAAACTGACAGCATACCTGGTGACATAAACAGTATGAGACAACACAGAATATACTATGCTGCCCCCGATAACCCTCACGCATTTACCCCTTATGGGTTCTGTAGACAGTTAAACGGTTTGATCAATCATGCAGATTTATCCGCTTGTAAAATAAAGTCGCTTTTTATATTGTTATATGTCTCTTGTGTGGGTGAAAGGGTGTACTAGATCTTAAGAGCATTCATACTGTGGTATGGCAGTGTCAATATAATCTATCAACTCAATGATCTTACTTATCATTGTGTGTAAACAAACGATTTTCAATGTTTCTGACAGATTATTAAAAAAGTATTCTGATAGCGAACTAAAATTTTAATTTTCCAATAGTATTCTTATTACGCTATCACAAAAAATTTGGATTTTCATATTAAAATAATTCAAGATTGGTTTCCACAAAAAAAAAATACGAATTCAATTATGGAAATGTCAGTTATTTTCATTTAAAAACTGAACTACTGAACCGATTTTGATTAAACTTATATAGAACTAGTCTGTATGTATATCCTTTTAGATAAAAAATAATTTTCCGTATTGGTTTATAACTGACGAAGTTATGAAATAACAAGCATAAAAAATACAACCGAAGTTTAATTAACTAATTAAAAACGTCAAAGTAAAATATATTATAATATATTTATTAGTGGTAGGTTATTTATTTATTTTCGTTTTTTATATGTAACTTAGGTATTCTATGATTAACCTTCTATTTCAGAACTGTTCTTTATGGCAATCTAAGGAAATGGCCTATGTTCAGCAGTGGACAGATAATGGCTGAGATAATGATGATTGAAAATTTCTTAAATTGTTTTTTTAATTGATCATTTATGCTGCCACATTTCAGTTTATTTTCTTTTAATCCTTCTGATTGAAACACAATAACATTCGGTCATATTATTTTATATATATTAAGTACTATTTACATAACATGTAAATAGTACTTACCTATCAAGATAAGTGGAAAATATTTCATTAAAATATACAGTTACCCTAAAATCTAAACAGTTATAACACTAGCTAGATGTAGATGAAATTCCAACTTAACGGCTTATCTTTGTCCTAGCTAAAATGTTAAGGACATGAATTTTAAATTCTGAGAATGTTGAATTTACATTGTAGATATTGTTATAAGTGGATTTCTCTAAATTCAATCCCTAATGGGGAGAAAAGAGTGGCATACTCGTACTTAATTTGTATGGGAAAAATTATTTATCTTATCAACGAAGAAAGTGATGGTAATATTTGCTTAGATATTCTAAACGGTCTAATTTATAAAACTTAGTACCTACTAGCTATATTTCATTGCTTTACGTCCGTGAAAACGGATAAAAAGAATATGGTTTATCTGCTTGTAAATATTATTAAAATCTATCCAAGTATTTAAGCGTGTTTAAATAAGAATTATTTAAACAACCAAAAAAAGTATGTAATATGTATATAAGAAAGTATTTTTATAACTACTATCTTATTTTCCACAGTTTTACCTTCGTAGACTACAAATATATTGTATGCAGTCTATTAACAATGATGTCGATGCTATGATGCAATGATGAATTTTGGATAAAAATTTATCGTAAAAAACTATACGTATAATAAAAGCGAAAAACTCTTGCATGGGTTTTGATAAAACTTGATGTGGTAATAGCTTAAATATCGATTTTATATATAGAATACTATGGTAAAATATTTGTTTCCTATAAGAAATTACAAAAGGTCGCTTACGCTCTTAAATCCCGAAAATAAATTTAAATAAAATCAAAATGTATACCCACCACATTCGCCTTCATGCTTGACCCGTAGGTTGAGGCGTCGCTCGCAAGCTTCTTTACGTAAATAGCAGTGATTGCGGTAAGTGCGGCCTGCGGTGGAACACACCGCGGCGGGCGAGCTCGGGCAGCTGGCGGGGCACGCGCAGTGCGCCCGCCCGTCCCCGAGGGACACGCACTCGGCGCCCCACCGGCAGAATGTCTTCTCGCACGCCTCTGTAACATTTCAATTGAGCTATACAAGCCGAAAACAAAATCGTTAGAGGCACATAAAACTAAGAATGATAAAAGCCAAAAATTTATGAATGAAACATTCAAAGCAAAAAATATGTCTCCCATACTAACTCAACAGCTGAACGTGCTGTTATTTTTTATTTGAAATTTTTTATTGTTTTACAAAGCATTTTTTTAAGTCAACATCTTTTTATTATATTATATCCGCTGTTAATTGTCCACTGTCGAATGTAGCCCTCTCCCTATTTGGATATTTTGCTAGTAGTTGCCAAGCGTGGCAACTACTGGCAGGCGAATTAGTAACTGCGGTTAGGTTTTGATGATGTTTTAAGAAGGATGCTACTGCCCATCCTTCGACCATTAAGTTACCTTAGTCGCCTATTACGACATCCACGGAAAAGGAAGGGATGGCTCATTGTAAGCCGGGACTCCCAACTCTATATTACTTCTATATTACTTTCAAAGAATGCTAACGATTTTAATTTCACATGAATATCATATTTTTGATGTTTTAATGTCATTATTAGTCTAGGGTTTTGTTATCAGAAATATAAGAATAATTTAGAACTGGAAATACTCGTATAATATAAAAAAAAGTGATTCAGTGTTTTTATATCAGAAGAAGTGCTTATTTTTTTCACTAAAAATGAGTCTCAGGAATAAATTTAAAAATTACTCGAATCTAGTGAAACTTGAATAATGAAAACATTAAAACCTAACTAAGTACTCGCGTATTTATTCGAGTCCTCAAACAGGATTTTTTAACTAGTACTAAAATATACAAATAACAAAAAAGGTCGACACAACATAGAAGATAATTAAAAGTTATCCATACTTTTTAAATATATTTATGGATATATGTTTTAATCTAAGGTTTTAATAAATTCATCACCATAAGTTGCCTTACCGTGGATGCCTTATGACTAAATCTTTGTTTATTTGTACTCCACGTAAAAAATGGATACCAGGTGAATATAGAATACTGAATGATATTCAAAATACAAAGCGAAATACTGCATAGCCTGGCAGTCAGGTTTTCAATCAGAATAAATTTATTGTATTGTAATATGAATAGCGCTAATAAGAGGGGATCCTAAAACGAACAAAGCGGTATAAAGTGAACTCTTTGAAAAGACGTAATTCTCAAGCTAACTACGTGAAGAATAACACAATTTCCAATTTTCCACCTGGGGAATCAAGACCGTGACTAAATTATTAAGGGGGCTAAAATAAGATACGAACATCCGATTCGCTACAGCATTATGTTAGCGCAGAGTTTGGGGATTACGGATCTCTATCGTGTAGTTAAAATTCCAAGCAGAGATTGTCAGACGCAAAGCCACAGAGCGGTTTGACAAAAGTTAATTTACGACTTTCTTCTCGATTAAACTTTTCAGCCGTAAGGTTTATATCTATAAATCCATATCCTTTTATAAGTTACTAGATGATAAGTCAGCTATTTCACGTTAATTTTTTTGCTATAATCATATAAATTATGCTCGACCTTGGGCTATATAATAATTAAATACAAAATGCATAGATGTAGGTAGGTATGCATGGATGTTTCGAAAGTGTAAGAAATAAACAACGTGTGTAAGGACGCTATTCTACACATTATTCCCTCTACAATAATATTGATAGTCAAATAGTACATATACATGATTACAAACTAACATGATAAGTTTTTGATCGAAATTATTTGTAACTTCTAATCTATTTTATTCAGATAAGGGATAAAAGAAGTGATCTTTAATATCCCGCTTATCTATATTGGATTGAAACCAATCACACGATATGCGGTGAAGTAAAAGAAAGGTTTGAATCGTAAAAAGGTTTCACCTGCCTGCAGTCATATCCTTATATAATCTGAATAACCGCCATATAAATTTTACTTTACGTAGAATTAAATTGCGGCAAGAAAAAATGCTCGTAACTTGTTTAATAAACAACTTGTTTGAATTTTTGCCCCCAGGATTAGCGTTCTTAAATTTAACAAATTGTGTGTATTAAGTTTCTGATCTAAAAGAATTAAGATAGCGTAATATAATATAATATAATATAATTAGTTATTAAAAATTATACTATAAGAGTACTAAAGTGAATCTATAAATATATTTTATTAATATCTAATATTAGTATATTAAAAATTATGCATATGTTATACTTTTTCTATCTATTGTATATGTGCAATAACTTTCTTATAAATTAGTTTCATAGTACTTACAGTATAAGTAGTTAAAAAACTATTTTGAAATGACGAGAAAATACCTCGCGTCAAATATTATCTTCAAAAGATACTATTCAATTTCAAGCCTCGAAGACAATCATATTTACAGGAATCTGTTTAGTACAAATATTCTATATCAGATTTGATAGAAGGCGACAATTTAGTCTTAATATTACGTTTGTCTCTTGAGAAGATTGAACATCAGAATTCAACCGCGAACTCATTTCCTTGACTTTTATATAAAAGGCCCTCGACGAATCCGCTTAAAGAAAAGAAAGCACCCGGAAATAACAATTTCGTAAGAAACAAACAAAATGTTAGAACGCAAATCGTTGTAAGAGAAGCTTGAGATAAATGGAGACAGGAGGGGGAGATAAAAATGATGGCGGATGCAATGTGAATTGAAGAGAATTAGGAAATTCATCACTACAATTTTGAAAGTTCAAAACTGTTTATAATATCTATATTGCACATATTATGTCTATATTTTAGAATAAACTTAACAATTAATAACAAACAGAATTACGAACATTATTTTTAAATTCACAATAAACAAGTCCAATTTAGAGGATTTGTTTACTTCCCTTAGAACTTGACTGAAAGATAAATGTTTGCTTTGTTCTCCTTACATAATTATTTATTTATTTATGTATATATATTATACACTGAAGAGTAATTAAATAAATAAATATAGTAATATTTTTTTTATAATATAGTCTTATGAAGTACAGAGGGATATATGAATTTAAATTAGTTTGAATTATTTATAAAACTATTCCAAATATAACAATTGTTTAAACTTTTATGTTATAATTTCAAATGAATTTTACTCGTATATATAAAATTATGAAAACGTCTCGTGATTTTTTTAAAAAATAATAACAGTAGGTGCATAGTAAAACTTTTACGAATACCAGAATACAAAAAGCAACGTTCATAAATATTAATATACAAGTCGAGTTGAAAACTATCAACTATGTCCTTCGAATCTGAAGCAAAATTTACATGTAAATGATTGTTTTGGAGTTTTTATTTACAAATTTTATGTAAAAATATTGTCTAACAGTGACATTAGGATATTTTCATGTAATTTATATCAGATTTGAGTATAAACAAACATTTAGAGTCCCATGCACTTATTAAAAAAGGCAATTTATTATTTATAATATTTAATATATATATAAAATGATATCTGGGGTACTACGTAATACTAACTTTACATATATGTATATAATATATTCTTTAGCAATATAAAGGTTGTAAGCCTCTTAGTAATAAATAGAAATAAAGCACAATTTCTTACAGTTCCTTTAATCTAGATATCATACTATTAAATCATATATTTACTTATTTTACTTTATATTTGATATATAACAAATACCCAACTTCTATTAATCCATTGACACTTATTTAAATATAGCTTCTTTAAGACTTACATCAACAATAATTGTGATATATTTTATATAATGACCACGTGGTTCACTATACTTGTTCACTCTTGATACATTAGGGAGCTCTGCTCTGTTCAACAGTTGGACAAGAAGTGTCTCCCCACCCAAATAACAATCTTTTATATCTACAGGGCCGAATTCGTGTAAACAAGTCAGCGAGACCACGTGTTCTTAAAATTTCACTACTTTTTATTCAAGTATCATGACAATAAATAATTATAATTGTTTTTTCATTTTGATTATTTCTTGTATTTATATTTATAATAAGTTTACTATTGTAATCTTTTGGAGGAAACAATAAAGAGTATCTATCTCTCTATCTATCTATAAAGTATTTAATTAAAAATTAGTGTTCTATATACATTACAAGAATAATTTATTACCAAATTTGGTATAATAACAATTTTAACGTTTTATTATATTTAAAGTAGTTAGTCTGATTTTTATTAATAAATGTAGGTACACATTTTAACACAAGATGTTTAAGAAAATTAATATAATTTAAAATAAATATCTAACACACTCATTGATTTTTAATCTAGTTCAAATGAATGCGAACACTCAGACTGTAGAATGAGCTCCCTGCCAAGGTTTACCCTAGAGACTACATTCTGAGGTTTTTTAAAAAGGGTATGTTAAGGTTTCTATAGGGTCGGCAATGCACACATGATACCCCTAATGTTGCAGGCATCCGTAGATTACAGTGACTGTTTACCATTAGATGGGCTGTATGCCACTTTAGTGATAAAATAAAAACAAAAAGGAGGTTCTCAATTCGGTTGTGTTTTTTATGTTTATATAGGTAACTCATAACTCCGTCAGTTCTAAACCGATTAGGAAAATTATTTTTTATCTGAAAAGATATTTTTTATTGTTGACAGATTGTTTTCTTAGAAATTTTATAATTTTAATATAGTTTTAATATTATTATATATTAATTTAAATTTTAGAATAAAATAATCTGTTTGTCACAATTAAAATCAGTTGTTTATTATCACACAATTTTTAATTATCTGCAATATATGAAAGTTATCGGTTGTGGATATTTCAAGTCATATAACTGATTCAATTCGTCGTACAAGTCGTTATAGCTTTCTAATTCTTCAAACTATACCAATCATTTTGGTTCTTCTGCAGATATCTTCATTTTGGATATTATTATGCAACAAAACTCCAAAAAATTTTAATATTATATCAAGAAAATCAAGCAAGTTCATTAACTATACCTATCTTTGTGTAAATAATTTATTGATTGATCAATAGTTTACTCAATTATTGATCAATCAATAAACTATTACAAAAATATTGTCCGTGTATGTTAATGTGTAGCCATGTAGTCCCGGAATGGAATAGGTTATTCCTTCCTTTCCTGTGGGTGTAGTAAGAAGTGACTAAGGGAACTTAATGGTAGAGAAATGGGCAGCAGCCTCTTAAAATGTCTCTAAAGACCTCGCTGCCATTACCAATCCATCTACCAAGCGTGGCAACTACTAGCAAAACTCCCTTTACGCAGAAGGCTTATGTTCAGCAGTGTACAGTTAATGACTGAAATGATGATGATGTTAATATTATACTGAGATTACCTGTATACAAGTTTGATATTTTTTGTTCATATTTTTCTCAATAAATACATATATGTATTATCTCATTGAAGACTTACCTTCAGGAGCAGGTGGTCTTGGTTGATAATGTAAATCTGAAAAAAAAGAAAATACCCATTAGTTTTCGAGAATAAAAAATAACAGATCTTCATTATCATAATTATAATAAGATAAATGTTGAGTAAATTCTTTACAAAGTTAATCAATCTCAAGGACTAAATACATGGAGAAATTTTGGTAATATAAAATATTTATTAATATCGTTTTTCTGCTCCCAGTACCAGTTAAGCAATATTTATTACACTATACGAGGGTAGATGACCTACATGGGGTTTATGATGATACACGACGTTTTTCGACAAACTAAAAGCATATAATATGTTTTTCACAAATATATATGTAAGCTTACACATTTATTTTGGTAGACTGGGACGTAGTAGATATTTTTGCTATATATTTTTGTTTACTATTATTTATCACATTACGATGTCTTTTTTTTTGCAATTACGATATTTTTTTTCTAAATAATTGACTTCTAAACAAATATAAGACGCTATCTGCGTTTGGTTGTTGCTCTGTTTTTTTTTTTTTTTTTTATACAATATAAATAAAACAACATTATAACAAAAAACACTCATTCCACAGACTCCACTAACTAGTTAGTTACATACGTAGCTGTATATTTAATTCATTACATAACGACATTTTATAATTATTGAAATACAAACATCAAGGTTTTGTTTAAAACTCGTCACGGCTCATGCGTCCAAAATATATTTATATAACTACTAAATTATTATTACAATTGAATACTAAAAAATTCTTTGTGAGTTTGCTTTATGAATTGCAGTAAAAGCGTGACTGAAAAATCAGTGCAGTTGTTCATTGCAAAACAATGTAATCAAATTTCGAAAAAAAAAAGCAAATGTTAATTTTATTTATCACAATACTAAGTATTTGTTAATATAAGAGTTTAGGTATCGTAAGAATCGACTAAGCAAAGGCGAGAGATGAGCAGCAGCATCCCTCTTAAAACACCTCTAAAGCCTTACTGCGGTTACCAAGCGGTCTGCCTGCGGTCGCCTACCAAGCATGACAACTACTGGCTAACCCCCAAGGGGGGTGTTCATGTTCAGCAGTGGACAGTTAAAGGCTGATATTATAATCACTGATAGTTATAGTATACGTAGATGTAGACCATAAAAATTTTCGATAATCTAAAACAACGGTAAAATACCATAAGTAATGATAATGATGATTACGATTATTATTATAGCTTGCTTAGACAACTAACATTTTATGCTCAAATAACGTTATATAATGTTTCATTTTTAGTATATATTTGTATATAATTTCAAGCCTTGAAACACATTTACAAAACACGCACACTAGTGTAATCATTTACATGCTCGTTTTTATTTGTGATTGCATTGCCAGTCTATCAGCAGTACATGCGCATACATTTATAATATTTGGTACACATAGATATCAACATCGCATTGTGATATTGTTGATTAACTAAATTGTCCCTTATGAATATATAAGGTTAGTGCGAAACCACCAGTATTCACCACAGTCGAAAAATGTAAGACCAGCTAGTTATCTTTTTCGCACCTCGTAAATATTATATCTTCTATATTTCTCTAACAAATATTGAATTAAATTGAGTATTAAGTTTGCAGTGGTGAAAGAGTGAGAGGAAACTAGAGTATATGGTAGTACCTTTGTGACTTTCTTCTCTTTAATTTATAATGGTTATTATTATTAAGCCATATAGAGGAACTAACTCTAAAGTCAACTCAAATCAAAAATTGGTGGAGTGACCATACCATAAGAACAAGGACTATACTGTCATGTTGTATGAAATAGTATTTCCCTTTTGTATTTATACAATCAGTCAGTCTTTCAGATTGTAGGTTTATTTATTTTTTTATCGATAGAGAATTACAGAAGTTACAAGATGATATAATATAAATACTCTTTTATTGTTGTAAACAATATATAAAATATATAAGCAAATTACCAACTCTTATCTACTTAACTGAACACGTAGTACGTTTTATGGAGGGGAACTTCATTTCTGAATATTCAAATGGCGTTGGTACTCGTTCTATTCAAGGAAAATATTCGTGTCTTATGTAAACATCGGGCAATGGCGGTTACATCTATACACTGTACACGTATAAGAGAGACATTCAACCAGCGACGTAAGAGGAATACAATTTTCTGCTCAAAATGGACATCCAATCTGTATTTATTAGGTTTACGGGCAATGCAATTGTTGTGTATATTTAAGTCCAGTAGTAAAATATTAGGTACTACATTATTACTATCAAAATTTTATGTGAATTCATTGAATTTTCGTATCTATGACTCACGTATTTGGCCACATTAAGGGGTACTAGATGTTACTATCACTTCTTCATTTTTTATCTTTATTTCTAAATTTGCAGTTAGAAAATTAGGTTGTTATATCTATCCTACAAACGACAACTATTGACGTACGAGTTATTTTATAATGCAGACTGTAAATTGACTAGTACAGGACGATGTGGCTAAGTAGGTACAACATACGTCGGGTGGCTAGATGCAAGTATAACTGGAAGTGAAATCTCGAAAATAGCGTATTTTAAAAGAGGCCAATGACCAGCAAATGATAATAATGTAAGCATTATTTGAACATTTGTATAGCAATTTTAATAACAAACATTTAAATATCTTAATACCGTAACATACTTTCACAGTTATAATATTAGTAAAAAGTATAATAGTATATCTAAGCGATAATAATAGTGATAGATAATAATTGCTATAACAAACATTGGCATCCCATTCCATAACGTAGTATTAAGATACGCTTAGTAAAATTTATGAGACAGATGTAATAGCAACATTAGATACATATCTCTATACAACTATAAAAATATCATAATAGTTGGTACTAATCATATTTCAAATGTAACGTACTTTTCATATTACTAACACAAAATAAATCTTTACTATTACTGCTAAGCGTATTATTTTTACACTTTAGATATAAATTCACTGTTGTCTATTTAAATAATTACAGTTATTATTCCAAGTTTCATTTAAAATAACTGAACATATACATTTTGATTTTGATCTTTATAACTTTAAAATTTGAGAGATTTCAATATATAACGTACATACTCGTAGTGAAGAAAGTTATTTTATCCCATCAACACATAAAACGTAAATGGAACTCCGGAGATAACTACCTTAACCTTTTAAATCTGGATTTCAACTTTTTTCCCAAATACTATTTTCTCTTTTGATGTCGTATTCATCAGCTTGGAGATTATTTAAATGCTTTTGAACTGAGAAAATCATACTGAGACGCCTTTATAAATTTAAGTTGGTACCATTCTATGAATATTAAAGGGAAGGGATCATTAAAAGTTATTTTAATCCTATCTTCCCCTGGTGCATGATAATTAGTTTACCTTGCATTCGCCTTTTTATCTGCAAGCACGTCTAAAACATTCATACTATTTACTGCAAATTTTCAGTAAAATACTTTTTGTATTGCAGATTAATGTTATCATAGCATAGGGACATAACATTTTGTAATGTGAGACAAAGAGGTCGCGGCTAATGGGTTCGCAGTTCGGATAAATATAAAATACAACAAGAGGTTGGCAACGCGACGCCACAAGCTGGCGTGTGCTGGGCCCTGGGCGGCACGCCATATTGTTTTATTGCAAATTGGTTGGACGGAGACCGCGCTGTCCTTTACATATACGAGGCCATTAAACTACGGCCGGTGTCCAGTCACGTGTTAAACGAATCCGATAGCTGCATACGACGTTAGACCGAGTATCCCACTGAAAAGTAAAGAAGTCAGCATGGAAATGGCGCGCCAATATTATCTATAGAGCACTCGGAACAAGAACTAAAATAAAGCATTAACTTTTTGTTTACCTATATCTAATTGTATTATTGGATTTCTATCCGGAGTTCCGTTCTATTTTTAAATATCAACTGCTAATTTGCTAGTTTATTTCAATAATTCAATTTCAAAGCACTCTTCGTGAAGTGGAAATAATCTAACACGTCGATTATAAGATCTCGATATTGGATCCGAGTTCTCTTACGCTAAACATATTATATTTATGCTGACACGTGTGTTCTGAACACTGCTATACCTTCGCTGTTATTTTATTATTGCATGAAAAATAGGGAGAATAGGAAATATGAAAATATCAAAAAGTAGTAGCACAGTAAGACACCCATAAATATGTTCAAACTGTTAATTTTCTCTTCTTATTTATTTTTTACTTATATCTGAGAAAATATTATGGAACTGTACAGATGAGTTTAAGGACTTCGTATCACTGTTATGACAAATGAATTAAACTAAATAGAAAATACATTGCGGTATTATGGATTATTATCTACCATTGTATTCGACCGATTAGAGTTCCAGTAACTTATCTATTTAGCAAAGTTATTCGGTTTATATCTATTGTTATAATCTATCCATTATTTGAACTTGAATAGTGAGTTAATTTTTAATTTTATGTAGCATACATACACAAATATATATTATTATTGAAAAACATAAAAACTTGGCCTTGTATACTAACATGATACGAACAATTAAAACAGTATAAGAGAATAAAAGTGTTTAATCAATATGTAGCAGGTATATTTACCTGAACTATAAATATGCTAGTTATTTAAATTTCAACCTGTACAAAGAAAAAAATTACATAAAATTTAGTATATAGTAAAAACAATGTTCATCCCTGCGTACTTGACACCAAACATATTGCACTCGGATGTTAAGAGTCCGATCGGAATGACGATGATCTTCTAAGAACAAGGTTCCTTATCGTAGATGTCACTTGTGTTGACATCCTACTCTACTCTTATATTAAGCAATCAATAACGAGAGCCGTGATAGCAGCCGAGTAGCTACGATAACCAATAAAAGACGCAAATATTATGTTCTTCTGATGATGTATTATTTTTATGCCACATGCTTTTAAGATCTCCTCAAAAGAAGCCTAGAAAAAATGGTACCAATAATTTGTGCCGCAACAACAAAACATTTAACTGTATTATCGCACAA